ATATACATATATGTAAAATGTAAAGAATAATAAAGTTCACCAAATTAAATGTTGAATTTTAACCCTGTAAATGTAATAAAATAATGTGTACACCAGGAATTTAAGAATAGAATCATTTATATACACACATTTTACAATCTTCATTACACAAAAATCACATAAAAATCTACGTTAACTTTGTAAGTGGTTGAGATACACCCACAACTTGCCAAAACATGTAGGCCTTCACACAGAAGGGAACACAGCACTAGATCTGTATGACTTACAGACAGGGGACTTACTCAGGTATCTTCTCAGATCTCTGTTCTATCTGCTCTATGAGTGTCTGCAACAGAACAAGAAATTATAAGATGCCAGCAAGAATAACACATTGAAGAAGAGTCAAGGATGTAAGGCTTGAGGAAGTCTTTAAGAATAAAGAAACTTTTAATATAAAAAGGAGGTTTTGCTCAGGAGAAATTGTGAGCTTACATTACATACTGTACATTAAGCATCTGTTCACTAACTTCTGAGAAGCAATTGGCTGTCAACATGACCAGAAAAGTCCTTAGGCTTGCATACAGAAAGCTGACTGACGTTACAAAAACAACAATACCAAATCCAGAACACCAGCAATGTGTAGCAAACTACAAAATGATTAGTCTGCTACAATACTGAAAGAGAAATTCAGTTTAAATTCCCAGAATAACACATAACCAGTTAGAAGTACAGTTTTCTAAACTCAGTAATAAATTGTTACCCCTTCCTCCAAATTATCTCTTGTAATACTCCTATTAGATTCAAATTGTTAAGACTAAAATTATAAAAGCTATGAGACTGGAGTAGAACAGTAAGTGGCTGAATGTAAAGAGAACAAGGTTCACACATCAGAAAAAAAATCATACTTACTCTAACTTTAGGGGCAGATGCTCTGAACTTCACATAATACAATGTAAAAGCATTTTCAGAACTAGGCACACCCGATGGATCCTACAACATATGAAACACTTATGAATTTGTAAATACATAAAGAAGAAAAATAAATTAAATTATAGGTTTAGCCTAATAGAAGCCTTATTTCTTAACTCTGAAAACAAGATATAATGATTAGCATGTTTCCTCCATTTTGCGTTTAAATGCCTTACTCAAAGAAAACAAAAAGAGCTTAATGGTTTTAAAACGTCTTGTTTTAAAGGTCTGTTTAAGGCTTTTCTACAAGCCCAGTAAGTACCTGACATTCTGCAAGGAACTGTCTCACACAAAATGGGTACTGGACATAAACCAATCACTGAAAGTGACCAATCTTCATTTTTCTTTCATCAAGCTGTGTTGTTGTTTTAGGAGGGGTCCTGGGTTATGAAGTCAAACAAAATAATCATAAACCTTCCAAGTCATTTGGCTGCCCCCTTACCCTTTTTGTTAGCTGGGTGGTGAGGTTCTGTAGTGTGTTCACAGTGTGAGTCTTCATTAAATGCATAGCTTTGGAAAGGCATTGTTTAAACTTGGCTAAGTAAACAGGATAGTCTTTAAAATGTGGCTGGAAAATAAAAGTAAATCAGTTAGGTGTAGAATATACAGTAACATTCATAAGATAAACACATTACAATTAAACCTTGAAAGACAAATACCAAATCGCCTATTACTCAGGAAAGTGTAATCTTTTACATATTTCCTGATTAAAAGTTTTTTTCTCCACTATGCAGGGAAACAGCTTCCAAATGGATTCATATCTTTGACAAACTGGAACAAAATACTGATTTAACTAAGAAAATAATGGTGTACATTCATACTTTTCAACATTTATTAATTTATGTTTTTATGTATGAAAATGTCTATAGCATGAATGTAATAAAGAATTATTGCATGTAGAAATAAATTAATTTGAAAATGCCCTACCCATACATACTCAGTCTTTTCATTTTTTTATTTAGATTAGAAATGTATTTCAAAATGTCCTACTGAATGTACTGTATACATACAGCAGGTTTTCATACTAAATCGGGTTTTAGTTATTGTTCATTAAGGGTATACTTAGGTTTAAAGGCTAATGCAAGTACAGTGTAATCACCTCAGTTCAATGCCATTCCTGATTAAAAAAAAGTTTTGAATCACTACTTACATGTGAGGAAACATATTCGATGCAGTCGTCCAGTTTAGAGAGCATCGGTATAAATCCTTCACTATTCACAGACAATGTAGGAGAATTCAACTTCTGTAAACAGTAAAAAAACGTACATATTTTTGCCTTTATAAGAAAATAATCTGTCAAATTTAGAACACTACACTTTTCTAATGTCTTCCAACACAACAATCTTTTTTCTACAGCCATAACAGTGGCAGTTCACTAAATCTTATTTTATTCAAGACTGTCGTGTTTGGATTTCTAACATGGAATTCATCAAAGAAGAATGAGTACTAATACTGCCTTTGGTGATGAGCCTCTCCAACCTTCCTTTAATTAGATAGAATCCTAACCTATAAAGAAAAAGTACATCTTTTCTTTTAATACCTTCATTAAACAGCTCCACCAGCTCTCAAACTGTTAAATGTTTTTCATACTCTAACGTACACCATGTAAAAGCTGCAACATACTGTACCTCAAAAGGAACTTACCGCGTTTATATTTTCTAATTCATTAAAATAAGACAGCTTCTGTTGTATGCTCTGTGCCAGGTCAACCAGTTCTGACTGTTGGAAGACAATAAAACATAAAAGTCAATAATTTATTTTCTTTGTTACTCATCATTCTATACCTTTCCATCATTCTTACGGCAAATAGTAAATGTTGCAGTATTTTGAAAAAAACAATCTGTGTGCTGTTTGTAGTGGACAATCCCCCACAAACTGCAGGGAAATGCATGTTTTTTCAAACTGTAAATCTCTGCTCTTTTTAAGTGACAACTCCTGCTTCAATTTTGTCTTCACCTACTAGTTGCTTGTCTTCTACAATATGTGGCTAAAGATTCCCAACAGTGATAGTGCGGTCTTCCACTCTACACTATGAACTGCACTGTTGGGAATTGACTCACTCCTAGTAGGCATCCTGAAACGGCCACTTTGTCAACTTTCACACCCTCCATTTCTAACTCCACCCCCCTGACCACTTCTGTTATATCCCTTTCTTTCTAACAAAGTTGGGAACCCACTTTTCTTCCACAACCCCGATTTTAACAAGAGCCTCTGTCTTCACAAATCAGGTTGCTTCCTGCAACGTCAAAACAGAAGTCTCTCTTTCCACTTTTCCCAGGTGGAACAAATCATTTACTTCCAAGGGGATAACCCCCATTGACTGAGATTCCCTCGTTAAAAACAGCCCTGGTTGTTTTTGGTTCCTAGCTGAACAGAGAAAATGAGGTAAGCCACTTCACTGAACACCAGAACTGACTTCTAGAAGCTACCTCTGAGTAACCGCGGCCTACTGAGATCATTTCCTCCAGCTGAGACTAGCAGCCACAATACAGCTGATGTTAAATTTAATTCCTGCATAAAATGTTTGAGCTGCGAGACAATACCTGCTCTTTCAGGAGTTGTTCACAGGCCTCGTGCAGCGTTCCTGTCTTGGTGGATACGAACAGGTACTGCTTCTGCAGAGAGTCCAGGTGCTGCAGGGCAGTGTTCACATCATTCAGGATAGCATCGCACTGGTCCTGAAAACCACTCAGGTGATCTCTGGTCAGTCTGCAGGAAAACAATACAGCACTCAGTGGACCAGTGTCACAGCTTTTATTGTGCAAAACTGCACTCTGGATTCTGAGCACTAATTCTGAAAGTCTTCAAGTACAGTTAGGATGGCCTTCTGGGTAGCAGTAGTTCAAGTAGGTAGCTGCATCAGCATGCGTAGGCTGCAAAGGAACAAGTAAAGGTTTATTCCATGCTGAAAAGAAAAGAAAAACACCTAAAGAACGCTCCACAACCGAAACGTTTTGTTTGTTTTCGCCTCTTTTCGGCATGGAATAAACCTTTACTTGTTCCTTCTGGGTAGAAGATTACTGTACTGTTGGTCTGTGCTATGAGTCTTAGGTACTAGGAGATACTAAAAATGGTCATCTCTCTTTTTAAGCACTGAGAATGTTCCCCCATGTTTGGTTAACTGGCGTTCAGACAGCATATAAAACAGATGACTCTACATTTCTTAGACAAAACCATCTCCAACTGTGGAACATGCTGCATTTATCAATTAGCAGAGACCTACTTGCCTACCTTCATTTCAGACATTTCCAAAAAGCATGTTTACTAATTCCCACAAACCTGTTCTTTGCACCTTCATCTTGGTCCACCCGTGTCTGCAACTTGGAAAACCAAGAGAAGAACTGAAAAGCAAAGAGGAAAGAAATAAGTAATATTTTACAAACTCTTAGCAGATCCTAGAAAGCACAAATGATCATGGAATAATCAAATTTCAATTCAATTTTAAACTTCTGTGTTTATTTGTAGGACTCTGTCCTGCTTTCTACATGAGACATTACATGTTTTGATGGTATTCTGTCACCTAGTAGGAAAGCAAAACAGTGCCAGGGGCTGTTTCAGGCCCTGTTCAAGCCTTGTGATGGCAATTCAACGAAGAAAATGTCATTTTGCCCCCTTGTCAGCTTTGCTGCGTTCCTAGCTAAGAAGATGATAGAGTGGAGATTCTCTGGCTTCTTCAAATACTGTTATCAGGACTAAGGATGCCAGCAGTGTCAGAGGCCGTGCGCTCTGGTCAGTACCTGCTGTGCGGTCTCTATCCGCTCATTCTCCATGCCCAGCGACTGGAAGCCCTTGAACAGGACGTCCTCTGTGGAAGCCGGCACCGTCGTGGACAGCGGGGCACAGAGCGAGCGCGACGTCAGGCTGCACAGGTCTTCAATGGGCAACTGGTTCAGGAAACATCCGGCACAAAGCGTTACGCTTTCAGGGTGGGTGCTGAACAGGAAGGTTCACCATCACACTACGTCACTGTGCTGGTTCAAGACAAAATCCCTGGCAACCCAAGTCTGAGTTTAAACGAGTCACACAGTGACACCTTTTACCCTGCCCACCTAAAATTATATACACTCATAGTTCCACAAGATAAATCAAAACGACAAACTGATGCACAGAGAGTAATTTCTGAGATACAGTCATTCATGCATTTCAGTCCTTTGATATGCTTATATGTTATCAATGTACAGATGCACTTTTTCCAAGGAAACTTCGGGGACAGAAAAGTGGTCCGCAGACCGAAGCATACAGGCAAACTGAAAGAACGCATCTAGAGACACTGGTTAGGACCTGACCTCAGACAACACAGGTCATGCTTCTCTTGTAAGTCATGTAAGATCTGTCGTATTAGAAAATCTAACTTCTCAACACATTTTGAAAAACAGCCGATACATTTAAATGCATTAAATCAGCGCGAATTGTGCAGTAGAGAGCCTCAGAACTGCCCTATCAGTCCAGGATGTGTGCGAAGACACCCTCTACGCACACTACTACGACTCCCCTTCTACCTCTATAGCACGTCCTCTTTTAACTACAAAAGCCTTCAATTCACTGACAATCACAACAAACCGCCGTAGATAACTCTTATGTTATTCTGATAAGACACTCCTGAGTATCCAGGGCCACGGTGCCGTTTAATTAGCCACTGTATTGGACCTCACCTCAGAAGGGATTGGGAGATTCTCAGCGGCTGCTCGGACCTCCAGAATGGAGTCTGTCTGGCGCTCTGTCAGGGGCGCCATGGGGTCCGATCTGCGGTCCCAGAGAGACAGCTTCTCCCGGGTTTCTTTCTCACTCTGGTCCAAGACAGACACATCCACCGCCGCCATCTCCTACATCAAACGTCAGCACTGACAGGAGATCCTGTTCCGGGGGGCTGGGAGTTCAGAGTCAGACGCCAGCCAATCCATAAGGCGCCCCTGTAGCCACGCATCCAGGAAGCGTGCCTTCTTAAAGGGGAAAGCGGGCACAGAGCTTGTAGTGACAAGCTGTCTCAGCTACTGTACGTTGACCTGCACATTTAGCCCACGAGAGATAAGAACGCCAGGATATATTTTTGGTAATTATACATATTGTTTTAGAGCAATCTGAACATTAAGGTGCTGTCTTTTTATTATTGTAATATTAACAAGAATAATAATAACAATAAAATGATTGCTGTCACGTTATGTTATTATTATTTTTACAGTTTAACCAATGCAACGAATTTTAGTTGCAATTTTATGAAAAGAGCCACCAACTATTAAAATATTCCAGTCCAGTGCATGGGTTGGGGAGAAAGAGATTTTCACCTGAAATTCTTTTGACTAAAATGAAAGGAACACTTTGGGATAGAGCAGAAGGTCACTGGATCTCTTGCTCTTAAACCAACTCAAAAAGACACAACAGACCACATTTAAACCGACAAGCTGGTTTTTGGTTAAGGTAGGCCTATACAGTATGATATACCACAAAATAAGTAAATCTAGTAAAGCATTCCTGTCACAGCGTATGGCCCTCCTTCATGCGCCTCTTCGACATCTGTGACTCCCAAAGACAGACAAGTCACAAATTCTGGAACTTGTGTGAAGATTCTAGCATTTGTACAATGCTTTATCATATCGTCTCCTTTAACAACAGTGCTTTTTTACCCATTCATGCTTTTTCCTTGCCCTTAGTCTGTTATAAAAGCTCTTTCCCCGGGATGGTTAGGGCACCTTTTACTCGTTTTGAGATTGTCCAGATGTGGTTGTGTTTTGGAAACAGATCTGCTTTTTTTGCCATCATTTTAAACAAGAGTGCTCTTTGCTCTCAGCTAGTGCTTTTCCTAAACAATTACTACATAGCCTGTCTCCTCTCGGCAGCAGATGAAAAGATGCTGTCACTGCACTCAGAGCCTCTCATTTCCTCCCATGGAATCTTTGAACGCTGTCCTATCTTTGACATTATTTATATGGAGCTCTTATGGCTTACATCCAGGGAGCTGGACACTTGGATTCGTACTTCTGTCTAGCCACACAATTTCATTTTAGGAGTCATTTGATAGGTGGTGTACCTCTAATGGAGACTTGGTGATCATAGACAGGGGGAGGGGTACATTTAATTCATTTCATTCTGATTTTGCAAAGTTTGAAAGGAAAAAAAAAATGATTCACCAAAAATAATTTTATTTCTAAAAATGCTTTGTTTAGAAAAAAAAAAAGATATCTTCCTTTAGACATTTGACCAGAAAGAATAGACTGCGTTAAACTGTGTTTTCATTTTAAACAAAAAAACTGTGCACATGCCTAGGTAAACCTTCTGACATTTAGAAAGTTGGGCATTTCAAGAAGAAAATTAGTATAGTCTTAGTCATACCTTATCCATCAACTTTTATTTTCTTACAACACTTTTAGTTCTATAAAAGTCAGAGGCACTTCAAGATTTGTCTGGGACAAACAACAAAGAAAACATCAAGCTGCAACATTGATTAAGGTAAGAAAAGAGGACATTTTAGAGAATCAGCCAGAAACCAGAGCAAACCCATGTTTCAATATGCTTTTTTATTTACTGCACTTTTGTGATTTTGGCAAATGCTAAATAATACCATGAAATGCTTTATAAAACATATTACAGTGTACACTATGCAAATACATAAGACCAGTTCATTCATCACATGTTCACTACAGCAGTACTTATATTACTGAATGCAAAACTGCACATTTCATTGAGATTCTCATCTTCCTACTCTGAATTCCAGAGAATGTGCAGCTTAGAGACAAATCATTCTATGGAACACTTTCACAAAGATAACTATGAAATATCCCCTTTTTTCCACACCAATGGATTGCATTATTTACAATGCAGGTAAATAAATACCCCTCCCAATTTACAGCTTATCTAAAAGAGTGGGAGTATACATAAAAGAATATCATAGAGAAGGCATACTCATTGTGCATATATTGAAGGCAGTGCAGGAGAAGTGTACCTGGAATGTTAGTACAAAAATAAAACCTCTCAAACAGGACTAGTTGAAGTTTTTGGTCCTTTCACAGTGCGATGTTTAGATTTCTGTTTTTTTCTAATCCCCACTGTTTTAATAGTAAACAGCAAATTCTGTTGTCAATGGCAATAATCTTGAAAAAGCTTAGTTATAAAACAAACACTATACATTGTTATCAATAATAAATGTAGGTGAAATGAGATACTGCTTTATTAAAATATTTATTTTACATTTTCAGAGGTTCAGAGGAATTACATGAAGTATACTCATAAAAGAACTGCTGTGAATGTGTTCATTACTGCCAAAAGCGCGAGATACACCAAGTACCATAATTCTCTCTGGCCACACTTTTACAACTGCAAAACAGGTTTTTATAAACTCACAAAGCATGAAGAGAAAAACGTTTGAGTGTGCACAGTTTGTCTGAAGGAATAATTCCATTAAGTGAACAAGCTTTACAAACTTAAAAGCTTTCAGAGGTCAAAGCGGAGAAAAATGCTTTAGAATTTCATTTGGTAACCATTAAATGAAAGTGTCAGGAGGCAAGTTCATTGGCTGAATCCCATTTTGTAAGTTATGTTTGATCAGATTTCAGGTGCACACTCCTGGTACTATAACAGTGTGGAAAAAATAAGTATTGTTATTTCATTCCAGGTGTTTATCAAACAATACACTTCACTTATCATTGTGATTATTTTTAGAGGGCAAAAGTAACAGTCTGACAACACAATAACCCTTCTCTTCTTTTAATCTGCCTTGAGATATTTTTACTTTGTCATGATTTTAACAAAAAAAATGCCTGTCTGGAATTGGCAATTATCCATATTCATTTTTATATATACTGTAGGTACATTTGATATATTGAGTGTAATATCTACAACTTCAGCTCCTCTCCTAGCATTGCCTTGATACACAACTCACTATCTCCTAACAACTTCCAGAAGAAATTGTGCAGCTTATTCATAAATGTGAACACGACAACATACAGTATGCATAAACAGTTCTATCACGTTTCCATTCACTGTAGTGAATGATATATGCCCAAAAATATAGTGCACGTTGTACTTAAGTTCAAAGTCTTTGCTAAACATAGCCCTCAATGCTGTAATGCTTGTAACAGCTATTAAAAAAACAGAAAAAAAAATCCTTTGTTCATATGTATGTTTTACAGGAGCTTTTTTTATAATTAAAAAAGGTAGATTACTTTTTGTAAAAAAATATTTCTTGTTGAAAAACCTACTACTTACTGAGTAAATTTCCTTTGTAGTTTCTCCTTAGATTCCAACTCTGCATGACAGCTATTCAAGTAAAAACGACTTTAGGACAGACATCTGAAGTTTAAATGACTCCGTGACAGATGGGTGGTGGACCATAAGCGATCACATCTGTGGCCCAACGCCCCATTTACGACCAGCAAACAAGTTGTCCAGGTCTTTTCAGAACCTCTCTCTGCCGGAACACTTCAAAATTCATAACACTAGGTAATCGTCATGAGCGATAAAGCAAGTCCAATACAGAGTCACCAATACAAAAAGTAACTAAAAATACTGATATAAACTGCATCTTTTTGGCACCAGATTCCTTTACCTATGTATCGCTAACTTAAAATAAAAATAGGTGTCTGCGGAGACTAGCAGGTTCTTTTCTGCTTGTTGGAAATAATAACACTATGCAATCAAAAGACATTAATACACATTGGACGTCCATATATATAAGGATGAACCCACTCGCCAGATTATAAATATTTAACTCTATTATTGAATTAACACAGCTACCTGAAGAAGACCAGCCAGATATACAATGTGTCAATTCCAGAATTATTACACAGTGAATGTTTGAAAAGGTTTTAGCTTGGTGTTTTTGCTGGCTCAAATTAACTGAAAAATGAATCGTCATACACCTGATATTATTACACTGTGCTGCAAAGTCATTATAGCAAACCAAAATGAAGAAAGCCCTTCTCTTTGGTCATTAACATGAATACAGTTTAATGTCATTGTAAGAAAGCAGCCAAAGAAAGGCAAACACTAGTCCTCTTCTAATAGCCTGCTGCCAGTGTAACTAATGTACACGTACACAGGCAAAAGAAAAGCTAAGATATCACCAGCTCTGACTACTAGTCAGTACAGGGACATTAACCAGCCCCTGTATGATGTACTGTATAACTAGCTAGGGCAGATATTATGCATTCAAAGTGCCTGGTGCTTTTGAGGTATAGGATTGATTCAAAATGATTAAGCAGATTACTTTTTCAGACCTGACAACTCTTAGTGCAAATTAGATTTGGATGGCAGCCATTTATGATCCTAAACTACATTAAACTTCCAAAAAATCTTTATATGCAATTCCTCTAGGGACAAAAAGGTCACTTCTACTTGTCCTGGCTTTACACAGTCAACAGAAGTAATTCCTAATTCCTTTTCAATAATTTAAAGGTCCATCTTGGGTCCCAAATCAGAATTCAAGCCTGGAATAAATCCTATATGGTCAGCAGTCTTGAAATATTTATAATAGTTACATAATTTGACACTTACACATCTGCATACCACCCACATTATAACATATTTTGAACAGTTTTGTTTTTCCTTATGAGCCCAGAATAAACATGATAAAAAATGAATCATAGCCACATCCACTATGGCAAATGTGTGTTGAAGTTTTGAAAATAAATGCCTAGAATTGCAAAGGAACCTGTTAACTGAATACAAAAACTGCACATGTTGCCCTAGGTAACCCTTAATATCCTCTCCTAACATGAAACATGTACCATATAAACTAAAAGAAGATAAATTAAAATAAAATAAAAAGTATGTTCCCAGAGATACGGGTATTGAAAGATATGGGTCTGAATTATCATATATTTATGTGTAACAATTAATACATTACAATTCATTTTGTGATCCACATAGTGTGCGGTTACATTGCCAAGGACTTTTTTAGGACAACCCTACTTTCATTTACCATGTTTCCATATGGTAAATTACAACACATTTAAGGGATTTATCTCTTCACACATCTCTTTACAAATACTGTATATACAAATGTTCAAAACTGCATTCTCTGCGTCTACACTTCACCATAATCCAGCTTTCCGAATAACATCTTTTAAGGCGACTGAATGAACAGACCCATGTTTTGGCCCCAAGAAGTCACCATCACTTCCAACCATTTCCATCTGTTTAGAGACAATCCATCCACGTTGGGCAACATACACTGTTGACTAACATGGTCAGAGGTACATACATCCAGGTGTGGAAGTCCAGACAAGATGGAAAAAGCAAAATCTTTGGCATCAGGAGCCAACAGTTTTGAGGTGTTATTCAAACTTCCCGACACAGAGTCAGACCTCAATCTTCTTCAGCTGCTCATACGTTATGAAGAACTGAGACAAGAAAGTTAAGGGAAAAAAAAAAGTAAGAGAGCTGTAAAAAAAAAAATGCATGCTTTCTGTTTGTTACTTTACAATTTGATTTTTGGACTACTGTTCATTGCCAGCTACAAAATAAAAAATAATCAGCAAAAAAACATAAGGAAGAAGTAAAATATACCTAGTGTAAATAAAGGGAAATGTCAAAGCAATTGCAACAGAAATAGAAACACTTGAGTGTAATGTGCATATACAGTATCTGATGTGCACAAAATGCAAGGAAAAAGGATACAATGATATTCCAAGGACCCAGTCTCAGCCAGTTAGGAAAAAATCCTTTATATAGTGCAAAGAAACCTTCTGACCTCGATGTCTGAAAAAGAAAAAAAAAACAAGTCTTTTAAATAATAGCCTACCTGCAATCTCAACCGTAAAAATATGTATAAATATAAGTCACTATGAATGAAAGCATTGGCTTTATTATTATTATAGTATAAAAAAACTTTTTTTAAAACAAATTCAGATCTCAAGTGGCAAATATGGACTCTCTGGATACCAGAATCAATCCTTGGAGAAAAACTACCTTAAAATGTCCATTCAAAGTCATTCACAGCACGCACCAAAAGGCCACTCAACCATACGAACACTGGGCACCCATGGCCCCAGTGGGCAGTGCCCTCCTGCTGTACCTGCACTAGGCAGTCCAGTGTGCCCTTGTAGCCTGAACACGTTCCGTCAAGAAGCACTCGCTGGTTCATCATGCGGGTCCGTACAACATCGACAGGATTGGATGCCAGGGCTCCTGCCAGCCCACACACAAAGCTTGACCTGGAATGGAGGCATTGTTAGATAGGTGGGATCAGGAACCTTCTGTCTTCAGCCAACTAGGACAGACAGGATCCAGTGAGAAAGGCAGTAGTAAAGAAGGGCGCTTGTGGCACAGAGACTTTGATCATAGGCACAAACAGGCCTGGTGCCCTGCAGAGCAAGCTAGTATTTCCACAGCAGCCAGCCACACCTATACTCTGTCAGTCAGGCCGGTTGCCCTGTATACCTTATTAGATAGCAACCTTGATTCACCTGTGAGTAATTATGTCCTTGATATCATTACCCTTTGATTTTAAAAATCCCTAACCTTCAGCGTCTTTTTGCAAAACATTGGTTATTAATTAGGTTAGTCTTTGTAAAGTCTGCATACAATAACACTAAAATCACAGGTATTTATGCTTTCATCAGAGGGGCATCATTTGGCCAGTTTCTTAAATCTGGTGATGAGAGTTTAATACATTAGTGATCAGGTTTCTGAGACTTTTACCAGGCTGATTTTGCAAGTTCATTTTGATTACACACTGATATTGAAGTCCACATACAGCCCAGAGCCGAGCTTCAAGAACTTCTGCTCTCTTTCCATCCAGCCACACAGCTCCCTCTCTCATTCAGATCACTCACACAAAGTGTGTGTAGACGGTGTCCCCCATGTAGCCAGACAGGATCAGGTGCTTCTTGGTGAGGTCGTACACTGGCAGCTCCACGCCCACCACAATGGCAGCTCTCTGAGCGGTCAAGGAAACCCCCTGAAGCAGAGCAGCACATCTTCAATAGGCACTCATTTACATCCCTCTTCTTCCAGTGATAACAGGAACTTTTTAAAACCATGTATATTTCCTTCATGAAGTCAAAGTTTATACTGTTCATGCATCTCCTCTACAAATGATAAAATGACATGTACTTACGAAGGATAAAATTAGGGACCCTCACCAAAATAGGGAGCTGGACCCCTAAAATATGGTCATTATTTTGGGCAGAGAAAGTGATGGAGGTCTCTCTCATGCTCTTCAGGTCAACCTTCCACTGCAAGGGTCTATTCACTTGGACTGTGGCTCCCTAATGTTTTTGCCAGTTTTGAAGGTTACAACGCACATTGCTTTTACAAAGTGGCCCAGAGTAATGTTAAGCCTAAGATGAGCCATCACAGTGGGGAAAACTTACTTTCCAGAGACCTCGGGTTCCTTCCTGCTGATAGATATTGATAAAGTTTCCGATCATTCCTCCCTGGACCACGCTTCCTTGGGCTTGCATTCGGATCTAGTGAACGAAAAGGCAAAGAAAACCGCCCTGTAAAAGCTCTGTACAGTATATAGATTCTACAGTGAAGTATGAATCATAATAAAACAATTAACAACACCTAAAAAATAATATACCCCCTTATAAGTGGCTAACACAGGAGGCTTGCCAGCGTTTGAAAGTGATTTCTTAATATTTCTGAGATACTATTTACTGTTTCACGACCTACTGTGCATGTCAGCCCAGCAGTTCTCAAACCGGGACCCCTTGTGGACCAGACAGCTAGTACATTGGTCCATGGAAAAGAAAAAATCAGATTTAGGGCTGAAACTATCATCGCTCCAACCTGACTTCCTGCCATTGAAGTCAGTGGAACTGCACTAGTTGTCTCGTGAACTTACCCAGGACACACACCTTCACTCCCAAGAACTGCTATGCATCATAAATACATTTCTTGAGGCCCAGATGTTTAGGTGTGTAAATTACAAATGTAAACTGAGCACTGGAAGCATTGGCATTACTCTGTGCTTGGTGTTCCATTGCAATAATATTTGAACACATTTTCAAAGCATAATAAAGTCATATTCTGCCACCTGTATAACAGTGCTGGGTAAAGAGCCTTGCTCTGCTAACCTGATACTGAAATACTCATACATGCCTTTATTAAATCATGATTGTACTATTGTAACACTAATGTTATGGAGCTATCTTCTAGGTTTCTATTGTCATTGTATTAAGTAAACATACATGGCATTAGCACAGAACACCCATCCTTAGGGCACATTTATAAGGTACAGACAGGTCTTGATCAAGAGTTTATTTTGACATGCACATGTATAATCTTACAATTAATTCAAATTCTAATTCTAATTGATCTACATTCACAAAAATCAAATCACACAACCATCACACACAACATCATTTTTCATAGAGCACTTGCTCTGTTCTGAGACACTTCTCTCATGGTCAGTCACTGATATTGAAAACAACACATGAAGTAAAGATGAAGGTAAAAGCAGAGCATATCACAAATACTGGACCAGACCCTCACCATTTTAGTGGTATCTGACAGCCTGAACATGTTTGAAGGGGACAAAATTTGGAAGGCGCTCAACTGTTTCTAGACTCATTATATTACTATTACTCCTCATAAGACATGAGTATAAGTATTATGTGATGTAGTTCCAGAATAGGTCAATCCAGAATAAGAAGTGAAAGTTCCCATTTCCTTCAGATTCTGAACCAATAGAACCTTGAAGCTTTATGGTTAAGCTTTTCCTTAGTCCTAAAAGCCGTTACGACATTGACTACTTACATCGGTCCGTTCACTTTAAACTAGTTTGCTATTTTTGTATCTTCTGCTGAGATTTCAAACTATTTGGAATGCCAGTAACCCTTCTGTGTCACAGTCGAAGCAAATTTGACTAAGGTTGATTTTTAATTGCTAATCTATCTTTTAAACGCACCAATACATGTGTTTGTGGTCTAGTAAATGGCACGGGGAACAGCAGTAGCCATGACTTCTGCCAGGCATGTCCACATTCCTGTCAGAGCCCTGAAGGTTTTATTGATAGTAGCTGCAGCTGACACTGGCAGCAGACAGTGTGCTGGTTTGCCCTGTGATCTTTACAAGGAATTTCACTCTTGAAGGAACCTTCAAGAGTGAAACATTCCATCACCATTTCGGCTCTGTGTGCCATCAAGTCTTTGAATGACTGACAAGATCTTTTTGCAGTTGTCCACTGGAGTCAATATGGCATTTCATTTTCACACTAGCTGGGATCCCAATTTAAACTGCTCCTTTAAGGCCAACACACGTGCACACTTGGGTAAGCATTCTAAACACATAAAATTATACTACAACAAGCAAAACTGCATATGTTACAATTGCAACGCCCGGCCTTAGTGTTCTCTTCAGATGCAGCTATAGGCCGCAGATGAGTTTGGCTTCAGTGGAGTGCATACTAGAAAACACAATCCTAGATTGCGCTCTTTCTCTATTATAGTCACAAGACCCTAGGAGAAGCTGCTGTGTGTCAATACATTGCACCTAGGGCAGGAGTACAGTAATATACATAGATCATGAGTGGTCTGAGTGGGGATCTGTGTCAGTTTACAGGCTACAAAGGAGCAAATACAGGTTAATTCCATGCTGAATAGTCAAAAGAAGGGGGAAAAAAATTTTTGGAAACCAGAACTTTGTTTTCTTCCTTTTCACTTTCTTTCAAACATCTTCAGACCACCTCCACTATGATCTAAAAAAAACACTGCAAAATTTCCTTTTACTTTGCAAGCATGGAGTTCCCTTCTGCTTGTTCCTATAAATATCACGGTAATTACAAGCTGCACCGGTTATGCCAAGAGTCTCATTGACAAAAAGAAAGAATATCTTAAGAAATAGACTGGATATTTGAGTCAGAGTCACCAATTCAAAACAAAGTTTCACAAATGTGAAACTACTGTACCATTACAATACAGGTCTAAATAAAGTTTGATTGGGAACAACATGTTATGTTTCCTTCTGAGCAGTGCCCATATCTGCTTTCTTTTCTACGCAATGACAAGCTATTAAAAAAATAAGTACTTCCATGTATAACAAATACTGGCATTCCTTCAAAACTATATCCATGGTCACTGTGTCTATTTTAATCCATTACCAGACGCGCAGTACGAAGTCACAGTGTGACACAGGACAAGCTGTTCCTTTCTGTTCTGAACTCATTCAACTACTGAACTCCTGGCACGATTAAAAAAAATAACTGACCTAGAAGAAAGTGAAAGCTTTTACTTTCAAAGAAATAAAGGACAAAATCCTGACTTTCAATATTTCTACATTAATTACTTTTTGCTCTAATAAAATCTAACACTTAGTGCTACCATGGGGAAGAAAAGGTAATCCTTTTTTTGCTACAGTAATCAAATATTCTGCAGAAATAAAACTTTTGAGCCTCAGAATAACTTTTGCCCAGGAATTTACAAAATTGCCGAATGGTTTTCAACAAATTTACTCTTGCACCACAACTGCATAAACATCTAACACAACCAGAAACTAAAACACCCTATTAGCATAATAGTTATTATCTGTTATTAGCTGTAGGGTTGTAACACACATGCATTTAATTTATTCAGCCCAGAACTACTGCTTTCAACTGAGCACTGTCATTTAAACATGTGACATAAGAAAATCTAAAGTCCTTGTTTGTGGGTCATGAAGTGTTTCTTGGTTTATGCACTTGATAACAGGTACTCAGTAAAACAAAGCAGCTAAAATAAATACTTTACAGACTCATTGATTCCCAACATAATATCACCATGGTATTTCTCTAATTAAATGGTCAAGTAAAATATTCACCCACGAGTCACGTATTGCAACATACGACTTTCTCACACTAAAGGATAGTGGATTTTACAGTTTCAATCTCTCATTTAATGATCTATAAATCCTAAAGTTTGGTTTGACTACTGTATTGCTTTCACACTGTGTCAAGAAGAAATAAAACATCAACATAAGCACCCTCAGTCTTTTTTAAAATGTGCTTCTTCAAACTCATGTGCTTCCCATTTTGAATTTTTAGTTAATGTTTTTACTACCTACAAGAAACATTCAGGACTATCTACATGTCATCTATCATGTTATTTCCCAGTTCTTCCAGAATATTGCCTAAAACTTCCTGGATTTTCTTTGTAGCTCCTGAATGTCCTTTTCTGGACTGAAGGCATCTCAACCATTCACCCTTCTTACCTTGAGCACGTCGGTGGGGTTAGCAATTGAGGATGAGATCACTCCAGACAGAACGCCACACAGCATGTTCATCACCAGTGTCTCATCTGCACAATACAAAACACTGCATTTAAGATGTGGTACTAAAAAATGCACACCTGCTCTTGCAAATCTCAGAATCCGCTCCCCCAAAGATATCACATTTCAAGTAACCAACCTCCAACCTCCACCTCGCTGAACTTTTTTTCCTTTTAAGCTTTTTGTGAGCACTATTTTCTATGCTTTTTTAAATCCTCTATGCTCTCTCCTTTCCCTCCTTTTAAAAGACCATCTTATTACCAATTAATTTTGGATGACAAAATCTTTGTGCAGAAGGTTCTTATTAAGAATTGTATTTATTTATTTATTCTTTTGTCTTACAAATCAAAAGAGGATATATAATGAATATTTGCCCTGACCTCTCCCAAGAAAAATACCTAATACTTTTCTAAAATGCATTTTTTTAATAATCTAAGAAATGTAATGTAAAAGGAATATGCAGTTGTTGGCAACCTGCTGGCAAAGCAGCAAACAGAAACTGGGTTAAAAGTCAGAATCCACAGGGAACATCTTACTGGCAGCAGTCTCCATTGGGTTTCCTGGCTACTATTCTATTCCTATTCTTTAACAATTAGAAAAGACTACAAACTGCTTGTACTCATTTGTACAAGTTGCCTGGTTAAGCGCTGTTCTGTCTGATGTTAATAACTCAGTTCTTCACCGAATCTCACAATTTAAGTGATTACTTATTTTCTGCCATATATGTAATCATAACATCCCAGATAACAAGATCAAAAAAGTAATAGAGAACTGCAAACTCATTAATAGAAAACGCAATTTAGTAAAGCAATTGGAATAACAGCTTAGCTCTGCACCTACAAGTTAAATATGACTGCATTCTCTAATACATAAATGGAGTCATATTTAAAGTACAGGAGCATCCAACCATCTGATTTTGATTGTTATAATGGTTCAACATTAGCTTGTTTCTCCAGGGCTCAAACATGATTCTTTGTCAAAATGTTGTAATTCATAAATATTCTTTTCAAACCAATGAAAAAGGCACCTTGCCTTGTGCATGAGAAATGTTATTCTGCCTAAGATGCAAAAAAAGGCATTAGTGGTCATGGCCACCTGAAGGTTTTAACATCTGGAAGCTTTATAAACGGTACTGGGTAAATATTTAACTAAATTACTCATTTTCAAAGGGTGTGCACTGTGCATTTGTAAATAAATAATCCTGGTTGTTACTGGCTAAATTTTATCAACCACTTACAATGTGTGACTTTGGGTTCCCATCTACAAACTACAGAATTTGCATATTTACATTCTCTGTGGGATAAAAATATTATTTTTAAAGACTCATCACAAGGTTCCAGCAACAGAGAGATTACATGTCTTAAATGTCTGAAAGTAAAAAAGTGAACTCATACCATAGAACAACATGACTACTTTTTAGGAAAGCAGGTAGAAAGCAAATTTAAACAAGAACACGATTTTATTTCTACCAATGCTTACGCTGTGTGCTTTAGCACACAAAATGGAGTAAATTAGGTGAGAAAATAGGACAAATTGAGTAACTTATTTAAAATAAATGTATAAACAAACATATAAACTACACTTTAGAAAATGATTTTTCAACCCATTATTCACGCACATATTATTCCATAAAAAAAACATATAGAATACCATCATTTAAATGTAAAAATATTCTATGGATTCCAACCAATGTAGGCAGACCTAGAGGCAAATGAATCAGCAGGCTAAGACTGAAAAGAACACTAGTACAAGTCCTACTGACTACAGTAAGGCAGCAGCTACTGAGGGTTGAGTCAGACAGCACTGCTGGTGAGGGGCTTCTCTCACTCACCTTCTGGCCTGTCCACAAACAATCGTTTGAAGCTCTGGTACGTGCCAATCTTGATGGTGCCATAGGAAGCCTGCCGGAGCATCGCAGGAGCAATCCTGGAATGTGCCACACAACCGTGAGAAACCAGGAAAATAACTAGACAGGAGGTAGAAGGATGGTATCTGTATTTGTTCCTTTACTGGACACTGTTCCGAATGCTTAACTGTTGTTTTGGAAATGGTAACATAAGATGGGGCTCTTGTCACCTCTTGGCTTGAGAGGACATCCTGCTTTAGGTGACACAGAGTTCAGCACTTAAAAGAAGAAAAGTATTAGTGGAGTAAGTGGGTTTCAACAGCTAGAGGAAAAATACTGAAGCCTAGGGGCTGTTCCAATCAGCACTCATCCTGACTTCTACAGCATCCAGAGGTCTGAGAATATGTGACTCTTCACTGGATGAGGGGGTCCACCTCACCAAAGCCGACAGCCATTTGTACAGCTGGGCAGACTGGAGAACTGGGGTAAAGTACCCTGTACCTCACTTACATCTACAGAACCCTCGGGAGAAGACTTGTTATTGCTTGAATAGGTAAAATCATTAACAAGTAATAATAAGTAATCATACCTCAAAAGCTACAGAGACTCGAACCCATAGCCTTCCACTAACGAGTCCAGAGTCATAATCACAACTCTATGCATACTTTTTTGCAAATAGCTAATCACAAATTATACAATATGACTGGCGTAATTTTACCATTTTCAATCAATAACAAGACTCATTCTGGGGTTTCTGTAGATGGAAATGAGATCAAAAAGGGAATCGAGTTCTATCTCACCTCAAATTACCTTACATTTAATCAACTTCTACAAACTAAAGGGAATAGCTTAAGGAAACCTCCTATCCAGCAAAAAAGCCAACGTACAGACTTCAGCTCACAACAAAACAAATGCACAAGGCAGTAGATGTAAATCTAAAGTGTGGTTTTAACAACCAGAATAAAACAAAAACTGTATTAAATAAAAGCAGTTCAACACTCCTTGGATTAGCATCCTTTACAATCCTCATGACATTTGAGTTCTTCTGATCTGGCAGTACCGAATAAGGCTCTGTCTTGCTTACCCTGAGTATAGTGCCCTGAGGCCTTCCTCTCTGCATATCCGGACAAAAGCATGGAGCATTCCTCGGTACCGAATCTCTCGGTACTTACTGTCGCTGACCTGGCCTTGGACCTGCAAGCGCGTTTTAGTGAGGTCAATGGGGAAGGTTCCTGTAGGAAAAACCAGAAACCGTGGTTATAACCAAATCTAAGCGCTCTTCCAGGCAGTGAGGTAACATGGAAAAAAACTAAACTTAATAAATAAGTGCTAGGGTATGTGTAGAAATATCCTGATTAATAACTACTTTCATGTAATATGACCCTATTTTTATTCATAAAAAAGTACAAAACAACACATTCTGTTAAGAATTAAATTATTTTTTGCGCTCTTAATCAAACAGACCCTTAAAAGATGCAACCTAAAGGAACAGTTTTGTCCATGAAAACAGTCACAGGAAGCAATAATGAATGCCTTGATATATAAATTCTTGACATGCCTGAAACACACTAGTCCCTCCAGGGTACTTAAGCTCCTTGTAAAACTTACTGCTTGCCGGCAGTTCTCCTACCTTCACAGGCGATCAGAGTTTTAAAAACTGTTCCCCATTTTGTGTTTTAATGTAGTCAATGCAAACAGCTTTCCCACTTTAAAAGCCTTGTCTTCAGAAGGATAACTATGCGCATAACATTGATTTTAAGCTTACAAATAAAATACAAACACTTACCACACTCTGCAGTCACAGAAGCCAAGCCTCCATACACAAAAGGCTTCCAGTTCAAATTAGACATTGTGTGCGCATATGCTTCCTCACGGATTCTGTAAGGAAAAAGGCTTTGAGCTACAGGCCGTCCCAGCTAACAAGCACTTCGGTACCATGTGTACTATGAAACAAAGCAAGCCAGTGGCCTTATCTCCAGAGGGTTCGGAGATAAGACACAGTTGTCAGGACAGGAATTCGACTTCTTGTTCCAGGCTAAAACACATCAAGAAACTTGTCAGACCCCATCTAACCCTGCTGTGCCCCTCCTGGCCTCTGTCCAACCTCTTGCATTGCTCAACACTACCGGATGGAGGGACAGAAATGTTTGCCAAGATCACTCGTGAGAAGTGGAGTTGGGCTTGTTTGTAAAAACAGATGTTTTCTTTGTTTTTGAGCAACACGTGTTGCATTTTTGTGGCCTTTTTTTAATCTAGAGATCATATTTGCCCTTTTTTGTTTGGAACTCATTTTGAATTTTTTTGTTTTTTTTGTTGGATTTTTTTCAACTTTAAGTTTAAGTAAAACAAACTTCAAGTCACTATTATTTTAGAGTCCTCTTGCAATAGATAGATAGATAATACTTTATTAATCCCGTAGGGAAATTGATGAACTAAGTGTGAACTAACTTATGAACTAACACACTAAGTGTGTCTCAAATGAAAAGGGTAACTGAATTGAACTAATAAGGTTTGAAAATTAAGGAATGTACAAATGTAATGATATCACTCTGTAATTTCAGCTGAACTTGTTTTCAATGGCAGTGTCAGTCTTTCTGTTAACACTGAGACGACAACAACACACATCTATTCTTCTGTGTTTTCTCTTCCAATGTGAGAGCTGCCTTTCCAAAATGTTCCAAAAATCCAAAGGTCTTTTAAGATATTGTCAGCATGTCAGCAGTGTGTCAGTCCTAAACGTAAAAAAAAACTTGTATCAGAAAAGGCAACTAAAGGGAGACCTGCAAGTCTTCATTCTAAATATTTTATGCTAAATCAGGTAGTTTGGAGTAAGGTGAAGTTTCACTGGTTCAATGACCAGTTATTGCTGAGCTTTGCACAACTCAAAACAAGAAGAACTTGTTTTAAGACACAGTGTAAACTTATTTTACTTTCAATAGGTGGTATTTGCATAACTATTTCAAACTCAGCTGTCTCAACTGTAACCATTAGCGGAACTGGCTCTGTGCAGTTGAAATAGGATGGGGCTGTGAATTCATCACGCCTAAAACAAATGTTCCCAATACTAAGTGGGGGAAAACAGATTGGGGGAAAATTGGGGAACAGCTAAGACAATACCCAATATGCCTAACAAAACCTTCTACACATTACACACTTAAGAAGCCCCGAAAGAAAAATAAATAAACCTTAATTACTAAAGCTATGTTTTATTCTTGATGGATCAGAAATACCAATTTATGGGACCTTCCGCTAGTTCACGCACAGGCATTCTGTGCACAGACTATTATCACAAAGACTCATGTATACAGTTGGTGCATGGCACTTATTAACATAGTGAGAAGTCTTCCCTAAAGAAACCTTAATTAGTCCAAGAACAAACACTGTCTGATTTTATCTATGGAAGGGACACTTATAAAGATGAAGTCTAACACAAGTCAGGGCAGATAAGGTTTTGACTGGTCATGAAGGCTAGTGGAATTAGTTCATAGAAACAGCACACTGATCTGATCTTCTGTTTAAAGACAAAAAAATTGGTTTGAAACTCAATCAGCATCACAGCTTCTAGTCCCAGTCAGATAAGGAAAATAATAAAGTCTTAGTATACTATAACTAAATATGATGTGATTTAGTACTTGGTTATATCTAAAGTCCATCAATTGTTGCAGAGCTGCTTCACCTAAAGGAAAATTGCAGCAAAATGAGTCCAATCCCCAATCCCAAAAATCCAATCTGTGACCAACTTTTCTTGGAAAGAGTCCTCAACAGTGTTAAACACAGACACCCGCCATCAAGCACTCAGTTTTATTTTGGGATTGGTGGGTGGGCCAAAGTTTTGATTTAATCAGGACTGTACTGAGTCATGGGACCTCAATGTCTGGAACACATGCAGGCAAATCCCCAACACCACCTCAGTCGCTGTCTGGCACTCATCCAGGATGGCAACGGGAAATAAATGCAGTAGTTCCCAAACCACAAACTTGCAGGTACAAATATAAGAAACAAAGCAGCTGAATGCCTGTTGACTTAATGAATACCTATGGTAAACAATGCAGAGGAATTCACACACAAAATACCCTGAACTCCACCACCTCACTATGTACCGGGTGACTGTTTTCCAACTCAAATACTGCCTGTGCCATCCATCCATTTTCTAACCAAATGATCTAATTCAGTGACCCGGAGCATATCTTGGCAAGCAACGGGTGCAAAGCAGGATACACCATGGACAGGACACCCGTCCATCACAGGCACACACAGAGACAAACGCACACACTCACACCAGGGCCAATTTTCTGAGAAGCCAGCTAACTCACCAGAATGTGAGGGGAAACTGGAGCACCCAGAGGAAACCCAGGTGAAAAACAGGGAGAGCTTACAAACTCCAGATAGATAGCACCCTAGAAATTGAACCCAGGGCCCCAGTTCTTGCAAGACAGTAATCACTGTATTGCTCCATTATGATACATATGAAAACACAAACTTATATTAATTTTAAGCGCAAAAAGCAGTCTTGACTAAAAAGCATCTGATACTGTATTCACATTAATAATAATTAAGCATTATGATTGCTTTGCTACACATGACAAAACATATATTTATTCCTTTGCTCCCAATGAACAACAAAGACAAACTGGCCACTTTAGTGTCCTGATAGTAAGGAAGACAACATCTGGGACAAATGCTCCTTGCCCAAAACAGTAAAGCCAAGAGGAGGATCATCAGTCCTCTTCTCCACTGAAATGGATCAAACTGCTGATAGGACAAAAGGGGAAAATAAGTACATATTTTTATCAGCTCTTTTAGAAAGTATAGTAGATAAGAGCTGAACTGGAATAAAAAAACCCAACAAAATCTGTTCAGGACCTGAGGCAGGAATACCAAATGACCTGGCTTCTTCTCCCTTATACTCACAGATATCAGACAATTCTGTTCTACTGCAGTGGATGAGGCCTACAGAGGAACAAATGGGGCCAGCCAATTTCCTGTTCCTGTCAACTGAAGAGCTGAGGTTTAACAAGACCTATTCATTCCGGACAGGAATAATAAAATATTTTGTACACTAAAACACTGAGAATTTGCTTTTCTCTGTACATGGAATACATTAATATTTAATATTTGGACAATAACACGCTAGGAATTTGCTTTTCTCTGTACATTCCAATTTTGTTGTGGGTTCATGCATGATATAGACAAACAGCCTAGATGTAACTGCCTGTGTTGCTCTGTGTGCAAACAATGAACAGTTTATCTTCTTAAAGTATATAATTTGTGGTTCTCCTTTGTTGCTATTTCTTCCTCTAACAGTCCTGCTTCTGACAGAATGTCACAAAGTCTAGGCGCAAGACTTTATGAAGGAAAAACACATCAGCACTGTACCAGCCTGGTGCACAAGCAATTTAAGATTTCTCATGCAACTGGAAAACAAGTACCTATCGAATGTGGAGCTACAGTACAACCACATACCATTCACTCTCCTTCACCTTTCAAACAAGTCTTTTCAAGTTCCCCCTTCCCCCAGTCGGCCATTACGAAGAATTACGAAGAAAAGCAGTGCGTGCAAAAGCAACAACATGAAAAGATGTGAAACACTAAACAGCAGATATAAACCACTACTTTAAAAATCAGATCATGGGCGGCACAGAGGAAAGCACATGAAAAGCCAATGGAGAATTTTGGAAACTACATGACCTTCTGTGTCCTCTGCCACAAATAAGTATTAATGTGCCCTCCAGAGTCCAACAGAGGACAAGAGATTTTATTTGTCTTCACTGTAATCCCTAGTAGACACTGACAAGACTCTCTTCTTTCACTGGCCACTGGAAACTAAGTGAGGCTAAAGCCCTTGAAGTCCGAACATTATACATATGTGGGTTTCTCTGAACACACAGTTAACTTTATTTAATGATTGCACAGATCTTACTGTAAATGGAATGTGTCCTAAATTTAAGCAGCAGTTTAATTGTACCCAAATTTATCAGCAAGGATCACACATTCACAGCTGCTTTCCTAATTATACAGACAAAATATATGTCTGCCATCACTCTTCATCTTTATATACTACTGTATATTGACCGTGGAGACACTGGGCTGTTGTCACATTTGGGCAACTTCCTCTGTGTGGTCCAATTTAAAAACGACACCATTGAGTCCTAACATGTAAAAGTATTAGAAAAAAAGCAGAAACAATAGCCTCCCGCTCAATCTTTTTGATGTTTCCAGACACTTAAAATAATACATATTACCTTAAACTAATCATATTAATAATTTTATCTTAACAATTTAAAAAAAACATGTTTTGCATTGCACTGATACCTACGCCTTTATGGGTTGGGGATTTGCCGTTTCTTACAAAAGCTTTCTGAAAATGGAAATATTAACATGGAATAAAAAGAAATTAAGCTTCGCATTTCAATTAATGCACAAAAAAGCAATATGTTTTTAGCTCCATCCATACCAAAGCGTCCACGAATTGTGGGCTATGCCTTTTAGGGTCTAATAAAAAAAAAAAGTTCCATATTATCACACTTACATAAATAGTAAAAACGAGTCTTTGAGCAGAGAAACTGCGTAGCACTTTTAGGATTGTATCATACCTGGAACTTATATCCCCCAAAATTTCAACACGATTGCTGCATTCATTAAACAGCTTGTTTATACCGTCTTTCGTTGAAGTTGAAAAATAAACACTTCCTGTAAATGTTTTGATGCTGAACAACGCACGCGATACAAAACTACCTCAAATGCAGAACAGTAATACGGGATAAAAACTACTTAGCAAGAGAATATAGGAGAACAGCGGATATAGAAAAGCTACTTACTTGCAATGCAGGAGCTTGCTTTAAAAACCGTGTTTCTCGCCGAAATCGACTGATCCGTCCACGTTCCTTCACTCCGAGAAATACGAAAATTCAATAAAGGCACTGACGAGTTATGGCAGATATAATGAACCATACACGTGTCGTTTATTCGAAACGCTTAAAAGCCCTTGCTGCGGTTTGGTTCTACTTAAGTCTGCGTGAAAAGCAAGGCTTAATTGTTTTCATGCGTTCACCTTCAAGCACATCTTATGGTCTTTTCGAGCTAACGGATCGGATTAAGGAAGAGACAAGTTAATTTCACTCGTGGTGCGGTGGCATCATACTCGCTTCTTCCGTCAAGTTCTCACAAATGACATCCAGACCCTCTGCAACAAACCCGCCCAGTAGTTCTGCTCACACACCCCCATCCGCTCAGACCGACAGCCCTTCCCTTTCACAACGAAGTAAATCGATGTCACATAGTAAGGTGCTGCCTTTTGAGTTTTAATTATTATAATTTTAATATTATACTTATGATAATAAACCGTAGTTTACAGATCGTTGTTTAGGAAAAGTAAACGGAACACGGTATTGTTTTGTACGCCGGTTACAGCCCCTTTTCAACAAAATACGCCATCCCTTTTCCAGTTTGCAGGCAAAGGATACACGGATTCCTCCTTCTGTCACACCGCTTTACCAATGCTGCCATCAGCTTTGTCCACCCCGTCCTAGTCACCTCTCTCAGAGAACATTCTTGCCGTCTGCGGGCCTGCCAAGCTCATCACCCTACACTTCAAATTTATGTAAGGCCAAGGCACTCGTACAACTGGCCAACTTAATGAAAAACTGTTCTTCTTTCCGATTTTTGGCAATGTAGTCAAGGTAGTTGTTTGGCGTGGTGAGGATCCTCGTTATCCTGATGACACAGAGGGTTTCCACTCGAAAGTTATTCTACTGAGCGGTGCCCAACATCGAACAACACAATGCTTCTCTGTTGCTTAGTATTTCCAAAGAAAATGTACACTCAAGGACCAGCAGAAGGCACTATCAAGCAGGCACAATAGCGTAAATATACAAATAAATTAAATAATGACTGAGTCAGTTGAGTTAAGGTAATTGTAAGACACTTTCAGACACGTACCCTGTAATTTCCACTGGCTCCACTGTCTGCAAACACGTCATCAAGTCGACTACAACAAACCCCTCAAACGTGCTCTACAGCTGCAGCAGAAGCCTTCGGGCTCTCGGTGTATCTGGTTTTGACCGTAGTTTCAGAGCCAGAGCAGGGAAAACAGACATGGACAAGTGACTTATTATGCAAATCATGCCACAACAAGTGAAACAGTGAAACGACTGAAAGTGGACAATTATCCCTTTAAGAATGTGTATAACTTAGTAGACGATTGTATGATATTTTAGAGTGTGCACTCATCGTACGATTGGTATACATTGTGGAATAAAGTTTATTTTGTCAAACAAAATCGGGGTCTGACCGATTCTCACTGACTTGCTCGCGGTTTCACCCATTTTGTGACGGGTATGAATCGGGTTCTGTAGGCTAGGCTTTGCAATTATCAGAGCGGTACTTGAGAAAAACAAAAGTTTGACATGCATACAACACGGGAGCACTTTTGTCTTTAAAACTGCCTCTGAGAGTTTGCGCTTGACTCCTGTACAGGAGACCATGGCAAGCCATGCTATTTTATGGGCCTTAATTTTAGTCAGTCTGTTCGATTGTTTATTTCAATATTATTTGGTGCGAAAACGGCAAGAGATTTGTTTTTTTTTTACATACTTTACAAGTACATACTTTTCAAAATAGTTAAGTGAAGCCTTCAGGTGTTAGGATTTGCCAAATGCGCGCAAAGCAGCAAACAGGTTATGCAGGTCTGCGTTTTTAAAGTACCGTCTGTCCTCTTAACTGCTTTAGCCAGTACAGGGTGGAGCCGGAGCCTTATCCCGGCAAGCAAGAGACGCAAGGCAAGATATCACCCTGTACAAACACGCACGTACACCAATGTTAGTTTCCCCAGAAGACAATTAACTTACCAGTATGTCTGTGAACTGTGGGGGGAAATCGGAGTAAACCCACATGAACAAGAGGAGAACATGCAAACTCCTCATAGACAGCACCCCAGGAGCTGAACCCAGGGCTGCGAGGAAGCAATGCTTACCACTGTGCCTAATTAGGATTGTGTTTTTGTACAGAAGAAAACATAAAAAATGATACCATTTAGGGCTTGTCAGGCATCATGCACATAAAAGAAACGAAACAATGAGCATAACACATAGGCAGCGATTAACACTATAGGCTACACAATAACTATTCTAACTATATTCAGCATAACTGGACTACATGTATATATTGCATACACCATGGACACATAACAGCTCTGCTCACATTGAGTTTTATTCAATTTTAAAAATGTAACCTCAATTTTGTGATTTTTATGTTTTTGTGAATTTTTGTGATTTATGTGAGCTCGCAGAAAAAGACATTTCATTGCCAGCATCTACTGCTGCACGCCGTATTGTTGTGCGTTTGATAAATAAACTTTGATTTGATTTGATTTATCACAAAAGGTCACCCGAATATCGGTACTTTGCACGGTACCTGCAATATGAAAGCCATAATGTCACAGGTAATTACCTAAAACAAACATCTTTCCCTTTTAATTTAACCTAGACCGTTATTAACGATCGATTTTTGTATGGGTTTGGTCAATACATAAGGGCTTGATATTTAGAAGTAAAAAGGAGACACCGAGCTCATGGGCGGAGTGGGAACACCACTTCGAAAAATCATCCACAATTTTTACCGTAATAGCATGATAGTGTTAGAGCTTTACAGACCGATTAATTTAAGGTGGTCTGTATTAAGAACGAGAATCGCTCGATTTGAGCACTTCTCGAAATGTTGCATAAAGTATTGTAATGCTAATAAAAATGTGGTTATGCAAACCAGGTTTCAGAAATCCGCTCCAGACTTGGATCTTATTTTGCCGATTAAAAAAAAAAGTTTGTTGGTTCTTCGCTTCGCACTTCAAAGACCGTAGAAGACAAGCGATACATTTTAACCCCTCTATATTACCACCAGGGGGCAAATTTGTTTCAAAGCTTGTGGCTCAATGACGTCAACGATGCTGCCAGTATCTAAGCTGGGAAAAAAAGTATATCGCTCCTTTTCAGCCAGATCCGCTAGTGGGGAGAGCAGGAGCCATATTTGAATCAAACCCTTAAAACACAATCCAGCAGAATGATCATCTACAAGGATATCATCACCGGTAAGAAAGCGATGTATTCAGAAGAAGCAGTTTTTAAGATTTAGATTTTGTGTCTATTTCTTACCGTGGAAAGAATTAATTCGTAATATTTCACTTTTTTATGCCCGTGTTTTACGAGGCCTAGTAGCGTAGGCCCCGGCTTGATACTGAACTCGCAGGATGCTGATTGACCATGGTTTTGTTCTTTTTCGTTTGAAAATATTGTCGTGTTATAGGTTTTTAACCAGTCCCGCTAAAGAAAGACAAAAGCAAGTGATTTAATACGATTTCTTAGCTAAGCGGTATTAACGACAAGTAAACTTCGGGGGCCGGTTTGTACCCCCCCTATAAAGGCTTTATTCATGAAATTCCATTAGTATTTTACTTGTACGTGGCAGACTGAAATATTACTCAATCGAATAGTGAAATCGGTTGCTTTAGTATCTTATTCTTTGTAAAGTAATTCAAAACGCGAAGGAGATTTTTATTACCTTTTGCCCCCAGTTGGGACGCATTTTACGCTTTAAGAGGGGCCGAAGTATTGATGCTTTTGTTTGTCGGAATGTGGCGGGACCTCTTCTAGAAATATTCAGGCGGGGTGTGAAAATAGCGGAGCTCAGTGGCATCCCGCTCTGGAGCCGGGAAGTTCAGTGAGGGCTGCTGGAAGTCGGATTCACGTCACCAATTTTCTTTCCTGCAGGAGATGAGATGTTCTCTGACATCTACAAAATCATGGAGTCGCCCAACGGAATCTTAATCGAAGTCGAAGGCAAGGTAAGGGGTTTTCGCAAGAGGCCGAGGTGTGCAGAAACTGTGGGGCTGGGTGTGGGGGGTGAATCAGCCTTGTTCACTGCGAGTGTGTTTAGTGGGGCGCTTCTCTGACGTGATCGTGACGAACGAGGGAACGTTTCCGGGTTGAATGGGAGCTTTAGAAATCGGCAGATGCTTTGATTTCCACACACACACAAAGAGTGCGGTGTTAAAAAATAAAGTAAATCGTTTCAGGCTTCTAGGTTATAGTGAAGTAATGGGAAATGGAAGCACAGCTTCCATTCTGAAATAACTGAATGCTCCAGATGTGGATTTATAGCTACTAGTCATCCTTTCACTTTTTTTCCTTTCAATGAAGAGCTTGTATGACTGAAAGGATTCCAACTCTGTTCTGTAGCTGCTGAGGTCAGTGGGAGAGAGTGAAATTTAAGAGAGAGGAGGGAGGCCGGCATGCCAAGTGAGCAGCCTAGGTTGAAGCTGTGGCCTTTGAGAGCCCCGCGTGAGATGGGCGTCTGCATAGAGTTTGAGTGGCTCCTGTAGACCCCCCGGCTTTTGTTCTTTGTTTTAGGTGGTCAGCAGGTCAGAGGACATTGACGACTCTCTCATCGGCGGCAATGCGTCAGCTGAACTCCAGGATGAAGGCACAGAAGCCAGCACCGTCAGCGGCGTGGACATCGTCTTGAACCACAAGCTGCAGGAGACGGGCTTCACCAAGGACACGTACAAGTCATACATCAAAGACTACATGAAGACGTGAGTGAGCGCGGGGGACTGGATCGCCGCCTTCGGCTGGCTGCATCGCTTGACAGGCCCAGAGCCTTGGGAAAGTGGCTTGAAGGGTTTTTTGTGTCGATGCAAGAGCAATTTCCTCGCGCTTTCTGTGCATCTTTGTCCGTAGCTGCTCAGATTGAAGAGAGGAAGACACGCTTTTTTCCCCCTTTTGATAAGAATTATTTTTGTCCCTTATTGGGGGGGAAAAGCCCAACATTTTAAGTGTCCATTCACAAAGCGTTTGCATTCATCTGGCTTTGAACAGAAGAACCCTTTAAGATCATAATGTAGTTTCGTGTTTTGGGAAGTAGCTGTTTGTATAACTTTATATGTTATACTGAAATTCTGATGTAGTAAAAGATTTCAGGTGCTGTGAGGGGTATTTGGACTGTTTTTAGAAGACAGTGTAAGTATAGATTTTCAAGTTGTCATGGTGTTGTGGTATTGGAGTAAAATGGACAGCTGGAGAACATATATAAAAGTACCGTTAATGTGTTAAATTCAATAACTTCCAAAGATTGTGGTTGAGGCTGGAAGACCAGATGGTATTATCCTGAAGTACTGTAAATAGAAGGTAAATTGAATATATTTGGAGACCGCTGTTAACCTACCTTATGTTGAAACCTGAGAACTGAAAAGATTTTTCAAAGGTCATTTAGATGCTCCCAGATATGGTTAAAGAATTGCACATTTCCAGATCCAAGCAGAAGGCAGAACAGGACAATGTTTTGTCTTAAATACATAAACACCTGAATCCCTAGATTTCAGATGATGAAATGGAGACTTGCAGTAAAAAAGTCCTTGATATGTGCTGGAGCCAGATCATTCAAACCCATTTTGGTTATTGTCTTAATCCTAATCAGCTAACCAGTGCTGGGAAGCAAATACAGGAATAGTACTTTTAGCTGACTCAGACTTGAGCTATTGACAGACTGAATGTCTGTAATGTCACACTGCAGTGTTCTCATTAATTTTCTAGATGCTGTATCGCATACACCACATCAGATAGACTGGTTTTCATAATAAAAATGATTACTGGTATTTTTGAAAAAACCTCTGCCTTAAGACTAATCTTGAATTTACAGATGCTTTGTTCACTAAACTTCATGTACATTATTTATGCAGACAATGTGGAGGAGTAGTAATACAACCCCATGCTACTGTTTAATGTAAATGCTGACGCTTCCATAATTAATATCTAACCAATCGTTTAACGGTAGGCATGGCAAATGCAGTATTAGATTTAGCCTGGAAGAGTAGTTGGATGTTGTCAACATTAAAAACTGATTCCTTAAGAGTTGGTGATCTGGCTTGAGGATAACCTATGAATACTAGTTTATAAACAGCTGGAATCGACCAAGCTTACTTGAAGGCACCCAATGGAATCAACTGCTCTTCCAGATAGGACCTTAACCACTGGAGCACAATGTAGCCAAGAGCTTTCTAAACCAATTGAGAAGAATATTGTCACTGGTTCATATGCCCCTTTAAGATCCAGAAGAACAAGTTTCACTGAGCACGGTTCGTTAACATATCGAGAAGATTGAACAAATGTAGGCACATATTTTTACTGTAAAATGTCTGGGGTCTGCTCTCTATCTTGTATAAGGTGGCTGACAACTGCTGAAAATGGTTAGCAACCTCAAAGTTAAATTGGGAAATTACATTGGATTGGACACTTGTTCAATGTTCTGTTGTGTTTAACTGGTCATGTTTCTGCATTCTTTCTGACAGACTCAAAGTAAAACTGGAGGAGACTAATCCTGAAAGGGTAAAACCCTTCATGGCTGGAGCGCAGGAAGAAATCAAGAAAATTATGGCAAATGTCAAGAACTATCAGGTACGGGAGCAGAAAAGGTCGCTTAGCAGCAAAGAACTTAGCAGTGTGCCATGATGACTATCTTAGGACACCTTTGGAGGGTTTTATCCTATGAAACGAACGCATTTCTCTGAGCACTTCACCAAGGGAATGTATGTGGAGCATGTCTGCTTTTAACTGTGGTCTGAAACCTTTTCCTGTGTCAGTTTTTCACAGGTGAATCCATGAACCCAGAAGGAATGGTTGGATTACTAGACTACCGTGAAGATGGCATCACTCCATTCATGACTTTTTTCAAGGATGGCCTGGAAATTGAAAAATGTGTAAGTACTCATTGTTTGCCAGACAAGTGCAATTAGTCCCCCATTTCAAAAATACATTTAAAACAGCTTTATTATTGTGATAATAATTGTAGGGAGTACAATTTGTAACAAATTTATTTTTTATTAAACATCCATGTTCATTTTTAGTACCTACCTACATCACTCTGTCTCATCACTTTGGCATCCACTGATAGACCTAAAGCAAAATGTATTGGCTTTTTGGTTTGCACTCGGATGCAATATCAAATTCCTTGCACTTTCTGGCTGTCACATTTGGCAGATTGGATTGAAAAAAGGAAGACATGATGTTAGAAAAAAACTTTTGACGTTGAATTCTATCCATGTCACTATTTAAGATCCTTTAGCTTTTGAAAGATTACATAAATTGCATTTGGTTTTGGTGCTAGAGGTATACTTGACTGCTGGTTATAAGGTATTGGCCTTAGCTTTGATTACATGGGGCTTACGTTTTGTAGAGTGAAATGCAACATTTGTACCAAACAAAATGTACCGATTAAAATATTGCTGTGATGTGGTTTAAATGCAGATCAGAAGTGCATTGTAATTAACGGTACCCTACCTGTGTTAATTTTAAAAAAAAGTTTGTATTTCAGGTGATTTTAAATAGTATTTTGTATCCTTTGTTTTCAGTAATGCTTCAGGATCTACATCTTCATCATAGCCGGCTGCTGCTTCTCATCACGAATTTAACGAACGTGGACTGGACTTCATTTGCTGTTTATTTGGAATGGAAGCATTATTTTAGACTGTAATATCAAAATAAAAATAAAAACTTACTTGGTCTATTGATGGCCTGAATCACAGATGTTGGAGAGCATCAGAGGAAGAATTTACATCACCTTACCCCACAACAAAGTCTGAAGTGAATGGTGCAGTATGAAACAGTTTTGTCAAGGGATTGTCATTATGAGCAGGGAAATTTCAATTGGATCTATTTTTTCAGCTCATTAAAACAAATTCTCAGCCTCACCGCTTGCCCTGTGTATGCAGCTATATGAGACATGAACTCCCTCTCCCCCAGGATTGATCAGCCCCTGACTTGAGTTGTAAGAAAATAAACCACTGGATACAATTTCTCATTCATTGTTTGGTATCTTAAATGTTCTTGCTTGGCTTCAATGTTCTGGCTTTTTGTACAGTAATGCAAGAGAAGTGAGAGTACAGGAGCCATGAGGTGTTTTGAAGACCGCTTTGTTGACTCTTGGAAGGCAGGTAGCCGAGTTCCAGGATTCTGATTACAAGTGAAGGTTAATGGTGATAGTAGGGACACCGGTGCGAAGCTCTGCTTCTCTAATGGGTGCTAAATCACCTGTCAAATATACTCCCACATGGTGGATCGCTATTCCTGCAGGAAAGAACATTGATAACCACCATTAAAAATTGATGATTCCAAAAATTGGAATACAAATAACTGGTATTTATCACAAATGACAGTTAGAGAACAAGGTATAAATTTGAGAAAAACGTAGTAGAACAGAATGTGCACATTCAACATGCTATTATGACTGACTTCTAAGAAATTAGTTGATGCGTGCTGCTTAACCTTAAAGGAGCACTGCAGAAGTATGGGTAGATGGATGGATTGTGCCACAGGTGCATTTTGTCTGTTGAGAACATAGTCAAGCATCAAGGTGAAGGATGATTCATCTGGATACATCACATTTCTCTGCGTGGTAGTCCCACCAGATTTTCAGACATTTGTAAGGTGTGATGAGCATTTAGTGCACTACAGCCCCGCTGTGGAGTTCTTGGGTTGAGTGTTTCTCATTAACTGCTTGCTGCCCAAAAATGTTAAAAATTGCAGTCAGTTGATCGGCAGTTACTCTTTTGATTTGCCTGACACTTCTAATGAACACTCTTATTAAGAGTAAGAGTAAGAATAAGAGGGTATTCTCTTCTGTTCCCTGGTGTCTTTTGGCACCGAGTCTTTGCTTGGGAATTTCCATGCTGACACTAGCGAAACACCACCCTCACTAAAGCTCATGCCAAACGTGTCCCCACAGCCACTCCTCTCAAAGTCACTGAGGTCTCTTCTTACAGTCATGATCGTCATAATGATGAGCAACCAGGCCTGTCCAGCATTTTTATACACGACCCTCAGCATTCTGGGATGTTAGGTGCTACAAGGAAGAGTAACGGCTGTGTGAAGGCCCCAGGTTTCAAAATACAGTAATCTCAGTGGTGTCCCTCATTTACCAGTTTATACTTTTTTGTCCACTATCTGTATGTGTGATTCTGTGCAAAGAACTGGTTATGTTTGATTTTTTTTTTATATTCAAATTTATTATTAAGCAGTCCAACCCTGAATTAAAACATGAAAATATTTGACATTTTCACATTTAAATTTACAAAATATGATTCTGTTTACAGGTTACAGAACCGGATAAAAATATTTTTCTGACTAGTTCCAGGCAATACATACTGTTCCTCTCAACTGCAAATTCTGCTTGTAGTAGACCATCTATTAAACAGAGGGGGGAAATAGTTAAAAGGTATATAACATTAGAATTGACAGACTCAGACTAAATTTGAAAGACTCAGAACTTGAGTAAGCCGATACATATTTTCTCCCATCTAAAAGCACAAATAAACTCATGGTTTTAATCAATATTTTTTCAGACCCTTGGTAAATGCTTACGTGGTTGTATATGCATACTGATTGAGCCACTTTGTTTGGCTCCTGGAAACTAGAACAGAAGAAGCTGCTTTGTGAATAGCAGACTTCAAAATCCTTACTCTGGACGGCCGACAGCCCTTCATAAGAAACTACCAGCATTTTTCTTCAGAGGGCTCGTCTGTACCAGAAATATTGGCATAAATAGAAGGAATGCAGCTGTGCCAGGGGATGTGACGAGGCATCAGTGGCACAGTCCTGTTGCTGTGCTAGTCGCTCTTGTCCTCTCCCTGGTAGTGTCGGTACTCGGGCTTCAGCTCCCACGTGTTCTTGTGGGTGCCTTTCACGTTGTAGATCCCGATCCCACGAAGTATCTCCTTCAGGTAAATCTGCAGCAGGGATGAAACAAGAGCGTGCAAGCCTGCGGCCCATGGTGGTAATACTGGGAGCAAACCTGCCCTAGGTCATAATCTCTTGAAGGCTTGAGCTGTCCAACACATGGACAGATAACACTATACACACCCAAAGCCATGGGCCCAACAAGTACATGTAGCCTATCCAGAACATCAAACTTGTATGTGGTACGCACACACAGGAAAACAATTGTATAAATATTTTGGGCCCACTTCTTAAGCACTGGTATCATGACACTGTTCCACTTAGATTTCTTTAAAAATGATCTGAAAGGAAAAAGTAAACAGCTGTGATATTTACAAGCTGTTACCCTACACACACAATGAATCCCTTCAGCATGTGGGCATTCAGACATACTTAGCATGAGATGTATTCTGAAAACCAGCATTTGCAAGCACAAAATGCAACCATGAATAACAATGACCTGCACTGGAGTCAAGTAACAGTTATTGTGATATATTTTGTATTTTTCCAGCAGAACTGCAAATGTTCATGAACACAGCCAATACTATTAACAGTATTAAACCAGTTAATGGATTAACTAAACCTTACAAACTTAATCATGAAAAAACACAAAAGCAAAACCTTAAGCTTTTTTGATTCTAATAGTAGTGAATCTGCTTTTCCTCAAAATATTACCGGATTATGTTGACACAAAAAGCCATGGAAAACAACACAATGACCACTAGGTGTCTATAGCTGATAGTATTTTAACAGTCAATATATATTTCAGATGACAAAAGATGAGTTTGGCATTAAGCAATGAAGAAGTCTGCACAGGTACGTCTCCAGGTATATCATAGGGGTGGTTAAAACTCTTGACCCAGAGAATTAACCAGACTATAAATGCCTAAACGCATAAAGCTCTTGTGAGCTCTGATTTAATAAGTTTAAATTAAGTCAGGAAATGTCACCTATAGTCCTTGAGACCTACACTGTGTCAATATTTTCATTCACATTCTCTCTCTATGCTACCTAACACTACAAAATAAGTGGCCAAAACATAGTGGAAAAAATCATTTCAAGCCCTTAGAAAGTATTGATTTAAGTGAGATTCATTGAAGCTGCTGAATTGTTTTTCCAAGGCCAAGGCTGAAATTCTATATTCCCATGATGATGTGAAGAATATGATAAATGTAGAAAATGGGTTCAGATTCCTAAATCTTAGTAAGATATATTAAACTGTGTAAAGATGCTGAAAGCTATTGGCAGCTAATGCTGTCCCAAATATATCATTAATGGCATTAGAATAGAACCGTGATTAAAAAAGGAGAAGTAACATAAACCAGGAAATAAGTGCTGTCCACTGAGAATAGAAAATAAAAATGAAAAGAACAGGATGCACACTCTACTACATAATAAATGTATCATCTTGAGAGCTAATACATTCTCTGGAGTACATTTTATTGTTTCCAATATAAAACTTTGACCAAGTATAAGATAAGATCACTTTATTAGCCATATACAATTTCTTGCATTAGGAATTTGTCTTTCGCATACCCTAACATGCTCTCCATGAGACACACAGGCACACAGACGGGGAGAGAGAAGCTTGGGGTCAGAGTGCAAGGTCAGCCATTTATACGGTGCTCCTGGAGCAGCTGGGGTTCAGGGCCTTGCTCAATGTTTATTCCTCTGCCGGCAGCGGGATTTGAACCGGCAACATTCCAGCCACAGGCGCAGATCCGCCCCATACCATAATTATGCTTAAGATACCAGTTTATTTTTCAAATCGTTTGATTTATACATTTATCCTAAAAGCAAAATCATTCTGGTGATCAACAGCAGGTCATTATTTACTGAATAAGCTGGAAAGAAATAGACTGTACATGGAAATCACAAATAGGACTAAAAAAAGCTGTTTCCAGGAAATCCGCCCACATTGAAGGTGTTACACTTAAATTCTAATCTAACTCTACAATTGATAAAACACATACTCTGTCTTGCATAATGTCAAATACATGTTTCACACTAAAGTGTTTTAAAGCTTACTGAATACTCAAAAGTGAGTAAAGAGGTTGATTACACAACCAAAGTGCTGACAAAACCATTGTTTTGCTGAGGGTTTTAAACCATTGTTAGGAAACCAATTCTCACTTTAATACATCTGTGGTAAGCCCAGGTATATTTACAACTTAACTGCATTTTTCATCTGTTTATCCTTAAGACAACACCCCAGTGTTCTACCAATGGGTTTGAGTGCCTTCACTGCTTTCAGAAGTGACATGCAGTGCTTGATGTCATACTTCAGGGACTGGCCTGTTATTTTATCATGAGCTGTGAGTTGTGTCTGGAGCGGCGGCGCAGGACTCACCACGGGCTGCTTGGTAATGTCCACCAGATCCTTGATGTTGTAATACTGATGCTTCTCAAAGGCAGAGAACAGCATGTCCAAGACCTGCTGCTTGTCGGCTCGCGCGCGCTTCCCTTCCTCCTTCTTTTTCTTCTCATACTCCACCTGCACCACAGAGCGACACACACAGGCTGAGTGAGACACCAGGACCCCAGCGTGACACACGTCACACATCTTGCAACACGTGCCAGGCGACACACGTCATGTCTCGCGACACACATCAGGTGACACGTCTCGCAACACGCATCAGGTGACACACGTCACAGGTTTCATGACAGGCATCAGGCGACACGCATCACACTTCTCACGACACACATCGGACGACACGCATCGCACGTCTCACGACACGTCAGGCGACACGCGTCGCACGTGTCACGACACGTCAGGTGTCACTTGTTAGGAGAGACGAGACACAGGTCTGACGTCATACACTGCACGACAAACAACCCACAGAAGTCTCCAGCGTCTCACATTGTACGTGTGATTCGCCACTGGCTTATAGTTGGTGGTGACTGCCTTATCCAGCTGCTGTGACAAGCGGGCAGGTTTAGATGATTCTTCAATCTGTAGTCTAGGAAAGGAGAAAAGCAATCGTTACAAGGATGCTGTAATAAATTTAAAGCAAGGAAAAACTTGATGGGTTGACATCTGCTTTCTCCATGTGACGTTAATTATATGGTTTCCCTGGTACAGACTAATTCAAGAGTTTCTAATGTAATTATGAAGTATACCGATTCATGTCTATTCTAAAAGCTGAACCGGTGTCTTGTCATTATTATGAAAGCAATTTAGAGGCATATGATAAGAACAACAAACATGCCAATTGCTCTTTTTGTTTTTTATGTTCTACAGCAATTAAGTAAACAGCATAGTGCGGAACCTTAGGGCCTTGTTTCTCTTCTAGTAGAAGGTTTTGAGATGTACTGACTACGGATAGTTCATTCAAATCCAGGTAATATTAGAGGTGCCCAAGGGGGCACTACTTTGAAATGAGCACTGGGGGACTGAGTGGGAAGGAACTTCTCAGGCAAATGCACACACCTCAGAGCATTCATGACTCAGAATGAATATCATCTGTCAATTCTGGATTAAAATGGTGGTAATAGCTGGTCCTGCATTTACAAAATGTCAACTGTAGGAATACCAAAAGTATTTCCTTTTGTAAAAAAAGGCTGCTGAGCTCTGACAATAACTCAAGTCATGGTTTCCAGAATAAACCAGTTCACACTTAGTGATCCGTTTTCTGCATTGTTCAAATACACAATGTTTTGCGAGTGGGGCTTAAGCAAACAATCCCAGCTGCGATCTGGAGCAGCTTGGTACATTTCAGAGGTGCCTTTTCACAAAACTACTGTATTAATTCATGGATCTGAAATGGCGAATGAGTTAGCTGCCATCATAAGTTAAAAATAAAACAATAACTCAATAAAATATCCTGTCATCTAATGATACCTACTTTTTTAACTTCATGTAATTCTCATTGACTGCAGGTCTGCATTCAGCTCGTTGCACCACTACTCCTTCCAGTGCAATTTTGTCTTCAAAAGAGAGGGGAGAGAATAACACTTCATTAATTTTCCATTCATCCCAAAGAGCTGCAGAACACCTTCAGTGCTTCCAGCATAGTTCATACTTTCATTTTATGCGATGTGCATACAACAGTTATATCCACAACCACAGTCTTTTAAATTTACTTAATATCCATCATGGATGGCAAACATCCCATTTAACCTTCTTAATTGCAGCAAACTCCTGTTACCATATGACACAACTGAGACAGAAATTGTGCCCGATCCTTTCAAACATAATTTAGTTGCTCATGCACTTGGCAGGAATATATGCTCATCACTGTTGCTTAGCTTCTGTTCCTGTTTTAATGCCCGAGAGGTCTGGAAAACTTGTTCTCATTTGTGAAGGATGTTGCTAAACACATCATATAAGTAAGTAAAATGCGTTGAACAGCTAAAATAGTGTGGAAAGGTTTATATTTCAGATTTGTTATGGCTGTATTTTCAGTTTCTCTACTCTAAGAGGTAAAACTAAGCATTCAAAATTCTGCAATCGCTTCAAAGTAAGATTTTCTTTTTCCCCCCCAAAAAAAACAAGATCTAAAGCATGGAATGTGTACGTTCTCCCCACGTTCACAGGAATTTCCTCCAGGTGCTCCAGTTTATTCCTACAGTCCAGATATACTAGCAGGTAAACTGCATTCTGGGAAAATTGGCCCTGCTGTGAGTGTGTGCCCTGAAAGATCCAAAGATTTAATTATTAGTTGATAAAGCTTCTTTTCAAATCTAGATGCAATTGCAGATGGCTGGTTACAGTTTTCATATTTGTCAAGCATTTCTTATTTATTTTTTAAGTGCCAACATCCTCTTAGGTCTGCAGAACAATTACAATGGACCAAGCCATCCCTTTCTTTTACATCTAAATGAATTTTTTAACACTATCCTTAAACACAAAATCAACCTTTGCTCTCCTATCAAAGAACCAAACAGTCTGAGAACCTTTGAGATTTGGCTTCAAGTTAGCGTAGCCACTACAAGACCTACTGCCAGCCATGCATTGTTTCAGAATAACAAGCTGTTCCTTTTAGCCTGTCTTTCAAACAGCTCAGCTTCACTTTTTACATATATCCATATATGTCCATTAAAACGGCATACTTCATTAACATCACAAACAATTTCCATAAAGTATTTTAAAGTTAAGAGGCACCTCTCACTCACGAAATTCATCACAACAATTCTGGTAATGGACAAAATTGCTTAGAATCACTAAGTGCTCTGGTACTTGTTTTAATAACCCAGTAAACACTTGTATTCAATCATGTTAATAGAACAAATGGAGGCAGGCATTCATGACGCCTACACATGCATTTCAAATCATGCAAAGTTATCAGCACAAGTGAAACATCGATTTGCAGTTAAACATCACATGACATGTTGGCTGAGTTGTTGGCCTAACCCTGATTACGCTTCTGAAACCCTGCAGGCCAGGTTTAAGAGGCTTACTCTCCAACAGGAACTTTTTTTTTTCTATTGTCCATTGTCAGTGCTCATATTTCAGCAAGAGTCAAAAGGCTCCCTGCCTGACGAAATGCTTAGAAAGTGGAAATGAAACTTTTTACAGGTCTGATGTTGATGTACATCTTGTTCCGCTGGGCAGATTGCTAAAAACAACAAATAATGACCATCCTCAGGATTTGAAATCACCTAAGAAACATGAAAAGCACCAAAAAAAGTTTAAGCTTCAAGTTTGCTCTCCAGAGCCATTCTAGAAGCTCTGCTGGCAAACGGTTATGTAATATGGAGCTGTCCAAGGGAAGTAGGAGTTGATTGACTTTCACAAATCCATTTAAGGGGAGAAAGTGACAAGGGCCAAGCCAGCCTGAGGCTGCAGAGTTGGAAGAAGAAAGATACAACTGCCACGGGGGGGGGTGACGAGGTGGGCTGGCCACCCCCTCATTTGAGTCGAGCATCTCTGCTTCGCTGCTCTCTGCCCCTTGCTGCTGCACCTCTCTCATTGTGAATGTGAGTCTGCTTTCATTCTGGCTGGTAGAATCACAAAGCTGCTCAGCCTTCTGTATCGTCAGGTGGACCGGAACGCCGATGCATCTCTTCCCCGCCGGTCCTTGAGCCCCGCGGCCATACAGACCAGCCAAATCTGCTGCACTCTGTTCTCCCAGGCTACCAGCATCACTTGGATAGTGAGGAAGAGGATTTGAACTTTGTTTTATTGTTAATTGGTACACCAATAAATTATTTATCAAGCCGAAATCAAAGAAGTCCCAAATTCAAATGGTGAAACTGGGATGTCTTTCATTTCTATGACCTGTACTCCCTAAAGAATATTTGATGAGGGATAGTTATTGTGCCCCATTTTACAAAATTGACCTGTTAAAGATTTTCATTTTCCGAGGATACACATGACATTTTCCCAAATTTGGGCACTTCAAAATATGTGCCCAAATCTTTAATTCCACCCTTTTGCTTTACACGATTCTATGTTTCTAAAGCAAATGACTTTTTTCAGTAAGCAATGTTGCTGCTCTTTACATCAGAAACCATAAGCCATTAACCACGGTTTGGTCCGACGTTTCACAATGATCACAAGTTAAAGATCTTTTTTCCTGATAGCAGGAGGATAAAGTGTCTTTGTTGGAATAGCCAATTAATGGTATTCACTAGAGCCGTGTTAAAACAGCAGTAATTACTGAACTTTTTCATTATAAAAAAGAGTTGCAAGATATATCGGTTTCTACTGGATGACAAACATTCACTGGAAGTGAATTACAATGACAGATTTTTTTTTTCTGCTCCATATTCCATAAAACTCTTCTACAGCCTGGATGCTATGTTTAGAAGCATTCTCTACATATTAGAAAAAAACCCCTGAGATACCATGAAGACAGAATGGAAAACAAGAAGAAAGAAAACCTTGTTCTAGTAACCACAATGAGATGAACATTTCCTTCCTTCCATTTTCTATCCAATGCAGTGTGGCAGGGGAGCTGAAGCCTACCCCAGCACTCAAAAGGGCGCAAGGCAGGATACACCCTGCACAGGATGCCAGTCCATCACAATGGTACACACAGACGCTGACATACACACTTCCACCAGGGCCAACTTTCCCAGAAGCCCATTAATCTACCAGTAAGTCTTTGGACTGTGCGAGGAAACCGAAGCACATGGAGGAAACCCACCCAAACATAGTTTGTATGAGATCATACAAACTCTAAGGAGAAAGCACCCCAGGAATTGAACCTGGGGCTCCAGCACTGTGTCACCACGCCGCCATCATACACAAATGAATGTATGAAACTGCTCCATAATTTTACTATCATCACTGTGTTAGATAAGATAAATAAGAGCTCTAGAAAAAGTACACAGTATTTTTAAGGTCATGCAAAGTTACATTCTTAGATGTTTCCAACACACATAAAATATTTTATGCAAAGGAACAAGTAATAGGTTTATTCCATGCTGAAAAAAACAAGAAAGAGAACACAACGTTTCGGCCGTGGAGCCTTCTTCAGGTGTGAAGAAGGCCCTCACACCTGAAGAAGGCTCCACGGCCGAAACGTTGTGTTCTCTTTCTTCTTTTGCTACCCACCTAAAATATTTTATTGCTAAGGAATTCTTTAACAGCTGACCCTGTTATTTTAACTGTGAAAGAGATAAACAATACAAAGAAATGTTCAGAATGTAATGCATTAGCCCTGTCCTTCTGAAATTATTCTTGTTCCAATACAATTTTTTTAGTTTTTAAAAGCCTCTCAGCACAGAAAACTGGTACAGTCTATGCACTGATAAATGTTTTGTGCTTAAACGTTATAGAACAAAAAGTGTCATTTAAAAGTAAAAGTTAGCCAATCAATCAACCACATTCATACAGTCATATTCCCCATATTGAATGTGTGTGTTCTTGGAGCTGTCTGCCAAACCCATCCACAAAATGCCTACCAGTGTACTGTATGTGGATTTCTTGGATTATTCACTCTTATTAGTTTTTTCTCACATGTAGCATAAACTCGAGAGGGGCACATGATTCATTTACTCCCACATGCACTGATAAGAAAAACAAAAGGCTATTTTTTACCTAGGGAACACAGCACTAATGTTGACTTGTCCCAGGGTCTTATAATATGCATTAGCCTTATATAGAGGTAAATAAATATGTATCTGAAAGGTATCGCTCTGTATCTCCAGACTTGAACTTGTGCAGCCTTACAGATTCCTTCCTTGTTTACTGTCAGCAGCACCACAGTATCCTTTGGTTTCAAATAATGGAGGGAAATTCACCTTGACTCAGTGGTAATGCTCAAATTGCTTAACTTTCTTGAGTATGTCACATACTGCTCTTACAGTGCTAAACTGTGTCAAGGTAAACACTTAACAAAATAAGACAAAAAATACTTTATAATTAAATAAGACTTAGACATTTTAACTTGAATTACCATTGTGCTTCTGGACATGTTTATTAGATGTTTGATTTGACAAAAAACACCCTAGTATTATCTTGCTTCCTGAACAGCATGTTTTATTTAATATTTGCTATTAAAGAAAAGAGTAACCTCTGCAAATGTGATCACACTGAGCCCAGAGAAGGTTTTTGGAAGAAATCTGCGATAAGAAATACTCAACACGAAACACACAATTTTAATGAACAGGAAGTCAGATTCATTCTTCCTTTGCCAAACAACTCAATTCTTTTCGTCAAGTCTTCCATCTTTATTTTCCTAACTTCCCATGGATTGAGTCTGTAGCGGAAAGTACTTGCACAAATCCCTCACAAGCGCTTCAGTGTGGTAAATCAAGGTACATTTTGAATTCACTTTCCTTTACCTTTCTCATGCATTAGTTCTCGATTGACCTCATTAATCTTGTGCTCAAGTACAATATTCCAGTTCCCATACCTCATCCATTTTCTAACCACCTCTTCCGGTTCAGGGCCACAGGGTAGCTGGAGCCTATCTTGCCAAGCAACGGGCACAATGCCATTCCATCACAGGGCAGACACATCACACACACACACAAGGGCCGATTTTCACAGGAGCTAATTAACCTACAAGTGTGTTTTAACACTTGCGGAAGGAACCCAGAGCACCCAGAGGAAACTCATGTCAACAACACGCAAACTCCACAGAGACAGCACCCCAGGTCTGAAAGGATCCCAGGGCTCCTGCATTGGTGCCCTGAAGCGCTAACCACTGTGCCACCATGCTGCCCTGAAACATCACATTTCACAGAAAACGAGCCCTGAACATATATGCAGAGACACTGAACGCAGTAACAGATTTCAGCTTTAGCAGCACACAAGTACCAATGACTGATATCAGACTTCAATCAAAACACTGTTACAAGCTGTAATTAATCTGCCTTCACAGATCTACATGAAAGTGAAGAGTCCTTTTATTCCTTACTGGAGATCTTCGGTATTGAAAATACAACCCTGATTTCCTGAAAACCCGAGGCATGAATTATAAATGACCAGGAAATGCTCAGAATGATAACCTCAGAATGATGCGTTTTAGTTCATACAGTCTTCATTCTGCAACTAGAGATGAAGAAGCAGCCCTGCTTCATTTTCACAAAGCTTACTGCAAATGTGCAGCTGCAATAATGGCACCGAACATTAATCTTGCATTATTTAAAACTCATTATTGCATTATTCAAAGTAACACCCTTTTTTAAAGCTATGCTGGACTGCTCCTGCTTGACAATTAATCTGCACCTCTATAAAAACAAATATGTGTGCCAAACTTAACTTTAAGTAAAGCCAAAATAGTATTAATACTATTATTTACCAGTAGCGATATATTACTCATTCTTGAAATACTACATCACTAGTGACTTTTTTTACATAATTCATTCTTTGCAATGGTGTCAGATTCTCATTTTCTATACCTCAGTCATTTATGTCATTCATCTCACACCTAAACATTTATACAAAATACCATAATATAAATATCTATTTCAATCTATATATAGTGTTTAGGTAGCACTAAACAGAATTTAAGCCTACAATGTGCCATTTTTGTGTAGCTGGTACATTAGCAATGCATGATAGCTGGCAAATGTTTTTAAGCAGTATTTCCCTTTAATATCAGAGCAGCCATATTACAAATGTTACAAGTTCTGCATTCAGAACCATTCAGGCTCTGGCGAATTGAGGCAAGGGCTCTGGAGAATAAGACATTAGCAAAGAATAGCCTTCAGAAACTCAACAATATTGTTATTGGAATATATTATTCATAAATGATGGGTTTTTGGAATATTGCTTTTATAAGTAATATCTGTCAAACTGTAATTTCACCTTTCTTGAATATTTCAAGATTAATTCACACTACAAAATATAGGAAACAAGCGTATAAGTATATGGACATTCGTGCTCTGAATTTTAAAAAGCTTCAATGTGAAGACAATATATAGGTTTATTCAAAATATATCACAGGTTCAAAGAAATCCATAAAGAAAATCTTGCTCCTTGCCTACTCTCAAGAACAACAGTAACTGTTTTTTTCACCCATATGGCTTCTGGTGTAAAATCTGGCTTCTCATTTTATTGTTCAAGTAGAATGTTCATATCAGCTCACAAATAAACTTGCATTACAATACACTGCTTTAAATCTTTATTCTAATCAGACAGCTTTTGCCGATACTGTGACACTGCAATTAGGGTCAATTCTCTGGTAAAATTCTGGGAGCAATACAGCTAGTACAAAGGATGTTTTTGAGCCGTGCAATATTAAAATGATCACACATAATGGAAATGCCCAGTTTCCCACAACACTTACTACAATTGTGGAGAATTGTGGCGTTTTGGGCTTGCAGTGAGGCACAACAACAATCCCACAAACCACGCTATGTGCTTTTTTGTGTTGTAAGTCTCACATTATTGCTGTATGAGACTGCTTGTCTCGTAAAGATCACAATCTTATACTACCTCATCACATTCTCATGAAATGCCGTAGGACCTTTACAAATCAAAGAGTTCCTTTCCGGCCTTGCTCTCCTAGTTTCTAATGAGGTTTTTTCTACCTTATAATGCCTCGGAAGGATAAAAAGGCAGCTACACACACACACACGCACTATGGACGAAAAGAGAAAAACACGACTATCTTCTAATTAAACAGCAGAGATCACTTTCCTGTTTTCTCCTAACCAGCTGGAAAGTCAGGTGCCTTATTTAACAGGTAAGTCAAGTAGTAATATGCATGACAACAAAAGCCTATTAATACTACTGTTACTGTTACAGGTACTGCTAACAATACAATTAAATTAATATTTATGTTAGCAGGCACAGACAGCAGCAGACTGCCTGACAACTAAAAGCATCTGTCAGACGTTGCAGGTGGCTGCTGAAAACCCATGCAGGTGAAAAATACGACACTACCTGATATAAATCTTAAAGATATAAATATCTCATATCTATATCCATTCATAAGTTGTAGCATAACTCCAGAAATTTTGGTTCTCAACTTGTAATCTTTGACCTTTTTTCTATTACAGATTAAATTATTGTTTGTCAGCATTTATCAAAAACGTCCCAGACCACAAGAACACAAGGGAGTGTTAAATACATGATTATATTGTCAACAGCCAGATTAAATATTTGCTTGCTACATGGATTACATTGTTAATTTAAACATGTATAGAAAAAAACAACTGGTTGCAGGACTGAACCTTGAGGTACTCCTTTTATGATTAAGAATAAAGGAGTACGAAATCAAATTTTTATACACTGCAGTGGAAATAGAGGAAATCCTGAAACCAAGACATAGGTCATTAAAATTAACAAGAAAAGCTGAATAACCAAAGGCAACAAAAGTCTGTGATCAGACTAATCTTCTTTAATAAGGTCTGTCCCTCATGGTTTTCTTTTTTCAAATAGATCCATCAAACAGTTGATACTTAAAAAGGCAGAATTTTACAAACTGTCAAATGATTTTCTCAACTAGGTATCGTTTAATTAACTAGAATTACCTAAAATAAAAAAAAACAGAAGAGAATTAGGTCCTGAGGACCAGCAGTAAGAACATCTACAATAAATAAATCTACAAACCTAGAAAAATAGGTCTGATTTTCTCATGGGTGTTTAAAATGTGACAGCAGCTGTAAGAGCACCGTGCCCATTTCCAAAACCAGACTGCGTAGCACAAACATTATCATTGCCGTCTGAGAAATAGTTTAACTGCTTAACAATTAGGCTGTGCATTAGCTTTCACAGGTATGGCAGAGCTGTCATGGACCTAAAACAGATTAGATAAGACCTGTTACCATCTTAAAAAAAAGACAAAGGTATTTAAAAGCAGAAAATAACACAGACGACAATATCTGCAGGAAACGGTTAAATTCGACCGCATCTTTACATCGTTTTAGGACCTACTTTAAATAAAATACTTCCGCTTCTGTGAGAGGTAAAAAACCCAGCCTAAAACAACTTTGCGAGGAATAGAATCATCTCAGGTGCAAATAAATCAGAACAGGACAATGAATAATTAAGATATTAAGTTAAAAAGTAAATAGTTGATCAATTAACTTATTTTTTGTCACCAATGTAATGCATTATCAGCGATTTAAAATTGTCCACTCCTGGTGGGAAAACATTCAGGATCAACTGTACATGTCACATGTCAGTTTTACCTGGCACTCTTTTAGTGCCGAGAAGTCCTGATTAAGCTTGGAGCTATGCTATACTTTTTTTCCATTAAAAGCTATGGAATGTTCCTTAAGAGCATGAAAACAACAATTTTCCTAACAGCATCTTCAATGTCCTAAAGATATTTGATTTCATTACCTCAGGGTTATATCTGCCTCGCCAGCATTATGAAATAAGCCAATAGCATACTGTACCTTTGACTCCCAAGAAGTTTGCAAGAGGAAAAATATGGATTACATTTGAGGTACACATTACCATGTCAAACATCAAATATGCTGTATTTACTACCTATTATTTGTTGCACTTGAGGGGTACAGGAGGAGGGTGGAGCAGAACAGGTAGAGGGATCAGGAATTTCTTTATTATGGCTTGTACGTCTTTCTTAATTAATATTGCTGTTAACATTTTCAACAAAGAGTTAATTCCACATTTTTTGTACAATAAAAGGCTCACTAACTCCCTTTAACCAACATATTATACCTTTCCTCAAAAAGATTTTCATTAAGCCAAAAATGCCATTTTGTCATTTATGCTGACAGGAAAAAGTCTGCATTGTCCACCTCTTTTGTTTTTTGTTCTCAAGATTCATTCAATACTGACTGCTCAGGTTACTGAAAATACATTGACAGGAATACCAGCATGTCTTAACTGCTCTCCGCAAACTGACTTTTTACATAACACATTCCGGGCACAGCTCGGGAAAGCAGAAATTGACACTGAAGAATCGTAGGTAGCGATGCACAGAATCCCAACAAGCAAATAAGACAAACAGCAAGAGGAAGACATTTAAAAATATTCACCACAAAGGCCACCACAAAAAAACTGTATGGATATATTTTTAAATACACAAACCCCCTTTTGCCTTTAACATATCAGAGTCATGTTTACCAAAAAAATGAGTTTGGAAATTAGCTATGGCTCTCTGTTGCACCTATTATTCATTGTGGCCATTTTACACTGACAATTAAGCCCAAGGGCAGCATGACAACTTTAAAAGAAGTGGATCACGCTCATTATGGCTTTAACAGTTTAATTCTCTGTGATTTTTCATCTCCACAAGAGGCATTCGTAGTTCTTACAGGCTGCAACTCACCTTTCATCACTGAGAGAATGTTAATTGCCCGAAACACTGCTGCAGCACACTGGAGTAATGAAGTGATTAAATCATCCTTTTTGAATGGAGGGTTAAAAGCTCTTCTCCCCATCCCCCGCCTCCTCATCAAGCCCACCTCACAGCACAGTCGATACACCTCCTACAGCGTAGCTGTGCTGAAAGCTTAAGAAATGTAAGCAGCATTTGCATATCTCTTTCACAGCCAGCACTGCACAGCTCAGCACAGACAAACGCGCACACAGGTGCTCCAGCTTCACAAAGGGAGACGAGGCACAGCCTGACAAGGGAAAGCACATTGCTCTGGAATGGAATGGAATCTCAGAAGAATGGACAGTGAACTGAAGCACATGAATCCTGATCTGCTTCAACCAAGCAAAAGCTTTAAGAAGCCGTCGTCTTTCACCATTACCCTCAATATAGGGGGCTACCTCTATGTCACCCAAAAGCAGACTTTATCGAAATACCCGGGCTCTTTGCTGGAAGAGATCATCAGTGGAAAAAAGCCAGTTTTGCATGTGGATGCAGTCGGCAACACCTTTATTGACAGAGATGGTCCTCTCTTTCGCCACATCTTGAACTTCCTGCGCATTGGGGAGCTCCTCCTGCCCGAAGACTTTAAAGAGTTCAGCCTGTTGATTCGTGAGGCAGAGTTCTACCGGTTAGGGGAGCTTGCCGAAGCCGTGAAAGACTGCGAGCAGCAGCAGGCGACACTGAGAGAGCCAGCCTTCCTGGAGGTGACGGACAGCCACGAGCGCTCCCAGGGCCTCAAAGTCTTCTGCAGCGATTCGCATTTCATCGACAAGGTCAAGAGCCGCCTGGTGCAGGTCTCCAAAAGCAGGCTGGACGGCTTTCCCGAAGAGTTCATCGTGTCTTCCAACGTGATCCAGTTCCGGCACTTCATCAAGTCGGAGATGGGGTCACGGCTGGTGCTGAAGGAGGACAACACGTTCCTGTGCACCCTGGAGACCCTCAAGCTGGAGACTGTCATGCTGGCCCTACGAGGCGGCTACCGCCTGCTCACCAGCCTCGACAGCTCCCGTGGCTCCGTCGTGCACTGCGAGGCGCTGCACTTCGTCAAGTGACTGCGCGGCGAGGAACGCCAGCCTGCGTCGGCGAGAGCACACAGCCCCTTAGCAGGATCCCTTCTTAACTCGCAGATTCTGCTTCAGATGTTGTTCATCGCTACCAACGAGCTGTCTTCACACCACAGTTCGGGATGACATGGAATTGGTGTGCATTTCTGTCTCTGTTTCATTTCTTTCACATCACCCAAGGCTTTCAGTTGCTGGTATCTTAGTGAATGACGCTGTTTTGTGCTACATCAGGCTGTTCAACGACTTGGATTAACTATCTCCTTGCCAGGCATACACCGTACTTCTTCCAATTATGGCAGAACAGAACGAGTAAATGATTCAAGGATTGTCCTATACTTCTTATCCACCACCTAAATGGCTTGATAATCATTCAATTCTCTGAAACAAGCAATGAGGTTCTTCCCTGAAGAATTAAATCATTTGGACATTTGAATGCTTTACTTAAATAGGTGTGAAATGTATCAGATCTTGTGCTGTGTAAAGAAAAAAAATGACATACTGGAAGTGTTTTGGAAGATGTCTGTAACTGCAATATGAAGTTATATTTGCCATATCAAAATGTTGTTACATATCTGAAGTAATGCAAATGCTGTATTAGATAGAATGAACGATTTTGTTTTTCGTGAAATTATAGGTTATTGCATGCAAAAAGCTCATTTATGATTTGTATCTAAAGCTTACTGTTTATGTTGTTTGTTACACTGAACTTCAAAATTGATATTAATCTGTGTAGAGATCAGTTAACTTATAATGAAAAAGTGACAGTCACATCAATTAATTAAAACATCTCCTATTCAAGAAACGCCAGGTAAAATTTTTTAGAAATTGAGGAATGCAGGATGTATTAATACCATGGAGTACCAATAGACTGGCTTCTACAAAGTGTTAAAAGCATTTTTGAAGTTGTTCAGGCAGATGCTGGGATGGGTTATTCATCTGGGTTTTCAAATGTAATCAACAGTACAGACACAGGAATGAAACGGATTACATTTTCATCTAATTATCATTTCTGCTCTCATGAGCCTGAAAAAAAATATTTTAACTTTTTTATATGATCATTAGAGCCGGCTGGATCTTTTGAGGGACCAATCAGTTTTTCCAGGTGGTTTTTTTTTTCTTCTTTAGAAGGAATGTGTTTGTAAGGATAAAGAAAAAATGCATTTCTGAGGTTAGTTCTGCATAATTATAGTTACTTGCCAGAAGTGTACCTTACTTTACAATAAAGCTGTACATGGCTCCCTGCAGCTCTAACGAGATCATTACCAAGTTAAACTGGAAAATGAAAATGTTCTTTTGTGTAAGCCTACAATGAAGAATAAATATCTGTCAAAGCAGATCTTAAAATAGACTGTCATTACTGTACTGTCCTCCTACCAAATTCCTACATAGTTTGCATTTTAGACAGCTTTTTACTGTACTTGAAGAAATGATAAAACTGAAATTACCGCAAGTATAAAAGTAATAACTGCTGGCTACCGTACAGTGCTTTAACCATGAAGAAGCCCCAAAGGCTTCACAGATCCTCTTCATCCACCCCTGCGGTGCAGTGCCCACCTGACGTGAGGCGGCTGACGTGCGGTGGCCGTTATGTGCCAGCAGCTCCACGACTTCACCAGAAGAAATGAGGGAGAGCCTGAGGCAGGCCAGGCTGAACGAGTGCACAATTTAGCCATGCACTCCTGCTCTTACAAATACTGCAAAAACATTTTGCTGCAGCGAAGTTTTAATGAGCAAGCAGCCACTACCCCGCAAAGGATGGTGCCTCCTACAGTACGGCGGCCCCCGGTCTCCATACGGGGGCACTGGTTTGAGACAATTCATGTCCAGAGGGAGCAACTACACCAATTAAAGCAGCAAACAGGTTTTCCTTAGTGGTCTCCCATCCCGGTACTAATTAGGTTGAGCCTTGCTTATCTTCTGAGATCTGCTGATGGTGAGATCACTGCTTTTAGTTTGCATATATTGATATGTGCATAGCTTATATGATACATTACCATATAAGCTAAGCAATCTCCAAAATCAGATGACATTTGTTGCTGCGTTACCTATACCTGCTGAGGGATGGGTTGGAGCATGTCCCCTGCTGTGAATTGTTTGCATAGAACATCATCATCAATAATTCCTGTAACAAACACCATCCTTACTGTGGATCTCTACTGTTCACTGATAATTTTGTCACTCACAGCAACAGTCTCCCGGCTAGATATCAAGTGACAAGGAAAATACGAATTATTCATGGAGAGAAAAATGTATTTTTTTTTTAAAAAGGGTGAGAGATGGGGGGCATAGAGTCACAAGTACTAAATTTTACAACACAGGTGTTAGTACTCAACATAAGCTTAACTATTTTCACTTCAGCTGCACATCTCATTAGAATCAAGAGATTGGTTGCCATAGATACTTGACTGAATCAAGGACTTAAAGCTTCTTTGAACAATACACTGGCCAAAAACCACCACCAAAATATCTGGCGTGCTAAATGGCAAAGATGTTTGTTAAACTATTGATGCCTCTAAATTCTGCTGCATGCGCTGCAAAAATAATTTTATCAACCACAATACAGGCTTCAGCTACAAGAAAAAGAAATGCCACTGAATTAGTCATTCAATCAGCCGTCGATTTCACAAAACTCGCAATGACTTCTAAAAAAAATCACGGATCCTCAGATGGCTGTCAGACCTTTTCCGTCATGGAAATCACAATAAAAAAAGCAATCTATGAAACAACATGACTGCTAGTCTTCGCTATTTTACCTGTAAACAGCTGAAGCAGTATAATAGATTCAAACTAGAGAGCGCTTTTTTTCCTAATTGCAGATCGGGGCCATTAATTTTTTATGAAGATTCAGCAAGTAACCTTAGCTGCTTATTAAGCTACTGCTCTAGCTTATATGGTTCTAACCTACAGGCAGCGTGAAACAAGCACCATGGAGCCACAGAACTGGCAGCCTTCCTTTAAAACTGTGATTAGACTGAAAAAATCAAATCCAAAGATTCCTTTTGCTGACAATAGCTGGAATACCATTCCTACCCTTTGTGCTTCAGAAGATCTTGTGAGAATGCAAATTGTTAAGTACAGACGGGCTCTTGATTTAATAATCTTTGCAAGAAAATCTCAAAAGCTGAAAGAGATTAAAAGACACTGGGGTGAGGATTATGTTCTTAAGATTTGCGCTGTGGAAACAACCAGGAGTTTGGGCAGAAAATGCAATTCTGTTGAAATGAGGATACACTTAAAGAGAAAAGAACTTAAATCTCAGCAAAAGCAATGACCTCCCGATAGAACAGACAAGACGGCTGTCAGTACACTTACCTGGACTGCTGCTGTCAGATTTTTCTTCTGACTGTCCTACAGAAGAAGAATGTGCTGCTGTCATTGGATGATCACAACAAAGTCATTGACAAAATGGACATATTTCAGTTTTAATTACTGTAAATGAAGCCCATCCTAGTTATTAAACATAAGGAATCTTAAGAAGCATTATCCAAAATGTGTTAGCATTAATTGTAAGGATTATACATAGAACAAAAACATATGCCAATTCTTAACACAGAGATGTCATCTCCAATCAATTGAGACTGATTTTAAGTGTAGAGGCATTATGTCATGTTATTAGATTCAGTTTTCTAAGAATTTTGGTAAAAAAAAACACAAGACTCAGACCAGCTCTGCCTGATTGATCAAAATGACAAAGCTGTATGTCAAACATTTTAAAAATGATATATTGCTGTTGAAGAATGTGTTTTCATATTTTGACAAATGATCATGCCTCAGGATGTGTATGATACAGCAGCGTGCTACCTTTGCATGCCTTAGTCTTAACAGATGCAGGGCTTGTACAGCTGAGCTCTCCTGAAGCCCAGATATGGGCATCGGCAAAGTTTTCGTGTAGGATGAAAAGTGCAGAAGCCAGTTATGAAGGGATTAGGAATCAGGAAACAGGCACCTGCAGGCTGGATCTGGGGTGGCTAGTATACACCCCTATGGCAAGGAAAAAGGAAATCTCCTTGCAGAAAATCAATGAGCTAAATACAGATGTACTGTATATAATGTATAGATTCACAACCATTGCTTCATGACACTCACTCTGTTTTCAAATATCATACTTCCCTATTTTAACTGTGCTGAAGTTTAACCCTTTGTCATGTCACAAATAGAGACACGAAACAGCTACAACTCCAGTTGCAGACACCTAACGAAAGGCATAAAAATAACTTCTTAATTTCCATTCTGCAAAAATGTCTCAGTTGCCAAAGGGTTAAGTTGTATTACACGTGGGAGTGAAGATGTGTTTCTGTCTCTTTCAGAGACCATATGGTAATATGTAGAACAGCAAAAATGCCAAATATTTTTATGTAACCTAAATATATACATAGATGCTCTGTGGCTTACTGCTAAAAGACAGGTAACTGAAAAAGATCACATTTAAACTTGTCCAAACAACTCAAAAACCATTTATATACAATATTTAAAATTAGTTTTAAAAATTATCTTTCAAAGTCTCTCAAACATGTATTCTATAAAGACACCTAAACTGACCAAAAAGGTCATGTTACTTAAGCAGAATTTTGAATCACTTTACAGGAGCTGTATTATGCAGAGCCAAGATCTGAAGCTCAGTGTGAAATGTAGAAAAGGTCCACAAATAAGCACAAATACTGGAAGAAACAGATCCAGTGAAAAGGAAAGCCAGCAACTTTGACTTCAAAAATAGAAGCTTCACTAATATGACAGAATCAAGACACAATTAAAAGCAAAGGATAATGGTGATTAAGTTGTCACTTTCCCTTGTTTCAAGTCATAGTTTTTCTTCAATCATTTTAATAAACTTTCATTAAAGTACTAATACATCACTATGCATTTCTATCACATTTGCCTGGTGATTGGGTTGTCTACAAATATAATTAGAATAGAACAATATTTTAAAATATGCATGTAATGTGTAGCACCCATAGCATTAAAAATCATTTAGCATTATATTTTTTAAGCACTGCACAGAGAAATAAGTAAAATAGTCAGATGTGATTTAACGTTCAGATTATTATAACATGGCTTGGTGTCGGTGTTGGTTCTGAAAAAAAGCCTAATCAAAAAAGTACTAAATTTCATCTGAATTAACACATTTTATTAGATCTATGTGTTTATCTGGTAGTAGAAAACATTTGAAAAAAAAAAATAAAGCTGGAGATCACAACACGGAGAAAATGTTTTAAAGAAAAAGTGAAAAATAAATCACCATTACTTTGAGCCCTGTTAATGGAACATGCCTCTGGCATCCATATGCAATGAGTAAAGCAACATTTTAGAGAATCATAAAAGATAATTCCGCAGTTTTATAATAACGGGTTTTAGAGAGGACATACATAAAATCCTTTAGTATTAATTAGGATTTATCGAATTGTTTGACTTCCATAAGATACACATAAAATATAAATCCTGACTTTGAGACCTTGTGAATTTCCTGACAGATGGTGCAGGTAGCAATCTCTTGAAAGTATTAATATAGAACTGTAATTGCAATCACAACTTGCTATATACACTAGAGATTTCCCACTGGTTACTATACATATTCTCCAGTTCCACTTCTTAAAACCATTGGCTTTATTTAGATCTTTATTTAGATTCTTTTCTTAGCCAACCTCAAAGGATCATTCTAAAGTGTGAACATTTGTGATTTTTGAAAAAGTGTTTTAGATTTGTAATCATGGCTCCCTCCATCTCAGGGAAAGGTTTTCAGTGGAGTAGAACGATCATGAATATAACTTCACAAACCTAAGTCATGAAGTCATGCAGTTTCTTGCAAGCTCTCAAAATACCAAAACATCCCAAAATCTTTTGGGGAAAAAAATCTTTCCCTTCTTTTGCCATTATGCAGCCTGCCCTGTTACTACAACACAACGACCTATAAAAAGATCAGAGAAGGAAGCCTAGTTTCCACATAGCAAAAAGTTACAGCACATTGCAAGATCATTAATGCAAGAATACCACCACCTCACCACACATTTTACAAAGAAAAGTACAAAGCCTTTTCTTCAGCGGGTTTCTCCTTTAAGTTGATATAATGGGGATGTATTTAATAGGGTAATGATTAAGGGAGACTAAAGATGTTAAAGGTAGAAAACAAAATGGAGTACAACTTGCCTTGACCACTCTTCTGGTATGAACAGAAGGGTATACAGTAGTAAGAAATGTAGATTTGTTAATTAACTACAGTAATAAAGATGCACTTGTGCAGGACAACAGAAAAGTGATTTGCAAAATATGAAGACTTGCAAACATTTTTCTTGATTCCCATTAGACCTGATTATAAGCCCAGTCAAAAGCAGAGAGAAATGCAAGCAAAACACACCAAGCTGAGAAGCACAATGACCTGTGAAGAACTAAATAAAAACTGAGGAGTACTTACCAGAGATACCAGTTCTCGTAAAATATTGCTTCATTAAAACAAGGTATACTACTCACTCATGCTACACTCATACAGGAAACAGGAAAAGGATGGCATTCACCCAAAGAAATGTCAAAACCTGTATCAAAAGAAACTGCAGCTCCTCCTTGCTGATGTGTTTGATGACCTACATCCATTTTACATGAGAATTTCTCAGCTGAAGGTATAGACCTCACTGATTTTTACAATTCCTAAAGCACAACAATTAAATGAGGATAATCATTAAAACAGCATTTTTAAATAACCTGCAATAAATGTGTGGTATAACATCTGTGTTTAAAGGATGTAGATAAGAATGCTTAAAAACTGACAGTATACCAACTGACATTGAGTATCTTAAACTGCCTACTAAAAGCTCAATTTCAAGAACCTGTAGTTGTGGTCCCATTAGTAAGAATAAAAGGTGAAATTCCTATTTTTCTCTGAACCCTTGCCACTACAGGAGGAGCAACTAAATAAATTCTTCATCAAAAGATAACTAGTAATTCTCTCCTTTGGCTCAGGGTCAAATCGCACGAACACAAGCCTGTCATCTGGTAAGAAAGATCTTTTGTGTTAGGTTTATCACAGTATTGTTTACAGTCAAGTGACTGACGCATTCAAAGGAGAGCTTTTCACCTTTAAACACTTCCAATCCACAACTCTAAGAAAAATATCTTTATTGCGGGCAGAATTGGAATTGGACTCAATACCATAAAAAATAAATTCTGAAGCGCTATTCATTACAAAATTCTATGGCAAAACTAGTTGCTTAGCAACCGCTTAATCAATACCTGCAGTAAGCTAACTTCAATTGCCATTTTCAACGTTAGGGCTACATAGAGAAATCCAAGCCACAGCTGAATGCTTGCTTTTTCAGTGAAATTGTCATTCTGCTCATGTTTCTGGATGAATAAAGTCACCAATTGGCATAATTAGCATGACTGTTACAAACACGTGGTTAAAATTAAGATCAGTAATCCTAATGCAAATTAGATTGTAAAACAGCTGTCGGTCTTTGAAAAAAACTTAATTTTAATCATGACTAAAATTACAGCACAAACAACCAACTTAAAGCTCAATCAATTTCTATCAACTAATGAAAATGAAACTTTCCAAAATGCTTGCAATGACATAAAAAATTAAATGTTTGGCATCAGTGGTCACTCTGAAAAGACTCTGATAAGTCCCATTTCTGTCAACCCAACTGAAGAGTCATCGATTTCAGGCCAAAAAAGCACAATTTATCTCATTACTCAAATGCCAAAGAGTACAATTCCTGCAAAAACTATGCCAGTAATAGCCTTGAGTATTACTACCATACAAATCTCCAAAATAACTTTTTGGTTTGTAGTCCTTTTAATACTTGGTAAATTAAAAATGTTTTAAAGTTTTAAACTGTATTTGATGGTTATTTTAGTTACTGTAAATATTCTCACGTAACTTGCATTCTGTTTTGACTGAATCTGAATATTATTATTAAGCAGCAGTGTGGAAAAAAACGCAAGGATGCAGGTTCAAAACTGCTGTTGTACACTTCAGCAATGTACTTTCACCTGAATCGTTACAGTAAATTACCCAGCTGTCTTTAATAGGTACTAATGTAAGTCACTTTAGGTAAAAGTGTCAGCCAATAAACAGCCTCAATTAGTACTAATAATCCACCAAAGCAATATTAAATTAAAAAGCTTAAACAATACAGATTAGGTTACTTTACTACAACTGCTGCTTTTGGGCAACTTTTCCAGGTGAATTTGCTACTGGTTAGAATTATTACACACAATCTATTGTCTATTGGGACAGCCTTGTAATCTCTAATGCACCAACCAAAATATTGAGCTAACATTGTCCAGGTTATCACTTCTGGACTTCAGACTTCTGTTAGCTAGTTTTTGCATATTGACAAAAGTCTTTAATTTTTCAATTTTGGAGTGCACTTATATGATGCCATTTGTCACTCATACATAAGGTTGGGGGCTAAAACATCCGAAGGACATCTAATCTCTGTGGTCTGCCCGGTTTTACAGTAACGAAACACTAGACAACAAAAGCTTCATCTAGGGCATACTGGGGGGTGTGAACACAAGTTTAAAAACAATCTAAAAGTGGAGAAATTTTCCATGACAGAAACTACTCTCCTTCTTATGACCCCAGAAAACTCTGAAATGAAAGGAGTCCCAGAGACCAAGCGACCCTGACTGCATCTGCAGTGACCGCAGACGTTCCTGAATTTACTACCTTCATGCGGAGACCTGCCGCTTACAGATTTTGTAAGAACTTAAGACTCACCGGAGGAGCTCTCTGTGAAGACTGCCAGGGTCTGTCCTCCAACGCTCTGCATGGTGAAAGGGTGATCCCGAGGTGCTTTCACAGTGGACGACTTGTCCCCAATGTCCGTAATAGTTGCCAGCTCTTCATTAAGAGTGAAGGACACCTGACAAAATTAAGATCACCATATGAACCAATCAACAGTGAAACAGTGAAACAGTGAAACAGTGAAACAGTGAAACAGTGAAACAGTGAAACAGTGAAACAGTGAAACAAACAGTTGTTCTGAGTCACATTCAGCATTCTCGTGTTTTTTTACCTGCTTGAGACTAGCTCAGATTGCCAGTTGCCTTACAGAAGCTGGTACAAGATAAAGCTAAGCCAGCTCTACTACCTGAAGTCCGAGTAGAGCCAGACGATGCCGAAGCCAGAATATAACTGACTGAGGAAGGACTTTAGACCTCCAGGACCTAAGCAAACCGCTACCACAAGACTCCGGACATATTACTTCGTTTATAAAGGAAAATACATTTATAGAAAAAAGTATTTCACCTATGAAAGCGTTTCTATTTATATGCCAACATGTGCAGGAAGATAAAGTTTACAAACAAGAGAAGGCAGGTCCTCTTCCTCAACTGGGATTTAAAGTAGAACTTTTACAGTCTACCACTCTTTTAAAGGCACTGCTGCTCTGTAACAGGTTCTTATTGCTGGCCCTTGAAGTATCTTTTAATCATCAACAGCCTGATCTCTGGAGAAGGCCTTGACATTTAGTGTGACGTTTTAACCGTCCTCTCAGGAGTAAATCTACTTTAAAATTACAGAGAAACAAGCTGAAGAACTGGACTTCCCAGGAGTCCCCTGCTCTATGCCTTATGCAAAAACATAGATGGACTAGGTTTTTTTATAAATCACTCACATTTACATAACTAATCAAACTTTTGGGGAATATGAGCAAACCCACCAGAAGGTAATGTTAATTATAATCCAACCCCGAGTTCAAACACCATTGCAGTAATATTGCCACAGCTCCCCTACAAGCTATTTCACTAAACCCTAAAATTAATTCCAGTGTTATGCTGTAGTCAATTAAATTTACATTTAATCACAATCCTAACCCATTGGAGGTCACCACAGAAGAACAGCAAAATAGATTCTGGGGTGCATTCTCTTGATCTGCTTCAGCACACTATTGGGTTTATTATCGAGGGGCACCAAGAAGGCTTCAAGCTCAACCCATGCTCATTTACACTAAATTGGTCAAGGATCACCATGTCTGTGAAAGATGAAACGTGATTCACAAAACTGCACCATGCCAGAATCAAAACTGTTCAAACAGGACAAATGCCCCAGAAACACTCAAGCTGAAGTGAAATTTTACACAGTTACCACATAAATGCAAATCCCATCTGGACGTACCTGTTGCTAAACTGCAATATTATTAATAAAATGGAACCAACACAGAGGATATAAAATGTCATCCTGCAACACTGACACCCAGTGGCACACAGAACACCTCCAGCACTAAAGCGATTCTTACATAATGGCAGTTATCACTTTTTTAATTAGACGTCATGCTTACCTCTGCTTTTCCCTGATTCCTTTTTAAAAAAAGAAGAAAAATGTGTTAACAAGTTCTATTAATGTACATTAAAGTACTTCTTTATGAAGAGATACAAATGGTTTGTCTGCGAAAGTTAATATGCACCCTGCTGACCACCTATTAATAATAACATCACTTTATTAACCCTTTACAATTTCTTGCATTAGGAATTATCTTTTCACATACCCCAGCTTGCTCTCCATGAGACACACAGACACACAGATAGGGAGAGAGTCTGCCATTGTACAGCGCCCCTGGAGCAGTTGGGGTTAAGGGCCTTGCTCAGGAGCCCAACGGAGTAGGATTCCTCTGCCGGCTCGGGATTTGAACCGGCAATCTTCTAGCCACAGGCGCAGATCCTTAGCCACAGAGGCACTGCTCCGCCCCAAGTTTAATACTGTAATCATTAGAATGACTGTATATATGATGTCTGGATAATATCTGGATCTACTCCACACTCCAACTCTTTTGGCAAGGACTCATGCATGCAATGTGTCATGAACAAGTGTTGAATGGATAAAATGATCCTATCATTTCTAACATTGCATAACTCCAAAAAAAAAAAAGATGGGTGTTACTTTGATGAAGTTACAAAATCATCAGGGCTGCCCAGTCTTTCCTAGAGGGTCAGATTGTCTGTAGAGACTGGCATGATTGGAGTGCTACAGCTTTAAAACAAACTAGAAAACGTACAGACACAGTGACCTTCCAGAACCAGGACTGAACAGGCCTGCAGTATATCCAACCAAAACATAGTCATAACTATTTTCTAAACCATAGAACATAAAAACAGAAGTCTACCACTGCATAAACCTCTAAAGATAAAGGTGGGATTTACATAGCTGCTTGCATTTGTATTGCAGTTTTCATCCCAAAGTGCTACACACATATCAAGCGAAACATCATCCACAGCTCCAGTGCAGCACCTGACTGGGCAACACATGGGGGCCATTTTGTGCCAGCAGCCCCTCTAAACAGCAGAGAAGTGAGGAAACACTAAGTGAACTTGAATTATGGGGAGAATGTTAAGGAGGCCAGCTTGAACAAGCCTAAAGTGAACTTTATCCAGAACACCAGAGTAACACCCCAACTCCAATGTGCCAAGGGGTGTCTCTGGGCTAGTCAGGAAGTCTCTAGCTGAGGGACAGCACATCTTATAGCGCAGTGTTGCCAGTCACTGTACTGGGACAATGGTTGGGAAATTTTGATTTGGTGGGGCAATAACACCACCGCCTGGTCGAGCAACAGCGCTTAAAGTAGCACCCAGGCCCAGCCTCGCTAAAGAGTAGCGTGAAGCTAGCAACATTGAGCAATGTGAATTAATTGGAAGTGTTTGTAAACAGCTGAATTTTCAATCAAAGTAAAAGTCCACACTGCTCTTGCTCGTGCAGAGATCTGGGCACAAGGAAGTCTAGTGCTTTAAGTGCCTTACGAAATTACTACATGGGTGAAACAGGTGCACTCACTTGCAAATTTTGAGCTTTCCCACTTCACCCCTGCCTGTTGCTTTGGCCCACTGCTGTGAAAGGTACTTTGGAACCTGTAAGGAAGAAGATTAGAAAATATCTCTATATCTTTTCTCTCTCAAGACAAACCTTTGGCCATTTAATTTAACATCTCTAACAAGAGACTGGGTCACACGCCCCATTACACACTACAATGAGTGGGTAGGCAGACCTTTTACTTAATTTTAGGTAAAACTTTCATTAAAGCATTTTTCCACGATTCCCATTAAGTGAACGACATCCATATACAGTCACTGATGTGATTAGATCATCTATCTTGGCACAAAAACGAATCATTCATCAATTCTGGCGTGTACTACGTCTTCATCACATTAAACTGCTTGGGTCGATGTCTTTTTTCCCCCACAGCTAAGGAGGCATGCTTACAGGGTAAAATATTGAGACTTTCTCCACCCCGCGATCTCTACCCACGCTGAACGAAGAGAATACAATAACAGCTGAACTAATTTCCCAAAAGACAGGAGACACAATTTTAAATGATAAAACACACAGAAGGGAGTGGAAGAATGTGGATATTCTTATGAAATTAATGTAATTCAAATTTTTATGTCACATCTGAAGCACTGCACACGGCTTTATTACCAGGCTAACTACAATTTTCATTTCGTGTCTTTAACTAAGGGATTTAACTTTTTGCGACCCGATGCCTGTATCAGTAGCCAACCAGACAAATAAAAAAACATTTTCAAACGTCTGGGTTCCCGAAAAGCTTACCTTTACCAACCAAACGCCAGTATTTTGTTTGGCTCCTGTTAAATCGACTTCTCCCTTCTCAGACATTATTATAGTGGTTGTTATTATTACTATTATATTATACAGTATTTGTCACACAAGCCACCATTCGGTTTTTGTTCGTGCACTACGTCTCAGAACACAAACACTAGTGCAACTGCGCACGCTAATACGGCGGCCCTAAGGGAACAAACTTCATGACTCACCATTACAAAACGCGGTTCACTACAGTGATTTCGGAAGAAGTTGATAACATCGTTCTCTTAACGGTTAAAGAACGTATTATATGTGTAAATAAAATTACGAAATCTGTTGGCTAAGTTTGGAACTTAATACAAATCTGGTGCAAGCTCATACTTAACTAAAGGGTACATACTAAGATTTAGTTACACTACCACATTTTACACCTGTTTTATTCAAAATCCTATTTTTTCTAATGTTAATCAAATTTATTTTTTAATTTTATATATATATTCAGAAAAGGAAAAATAGTTTCACAACACTGTTTTCCCTTGAAAATTATGATGATATTGGTAAATAACTCCTTAACAAATGCAAAGCATTACATTTAAAATTCCAGACACAAACTACTTCAAAAACGTGTTTTCTAAACTGACTTAAGGTCATTTACAATTATTTTAAAGGCACAGCATACTTTCAAATAAATACTAAAGACACATTTTCAAAAACTTTTAATTAAAAAAACATGTAAAATGTGATGGACTGAAAAACTACATTCATTGTATTAATAGAAACTAGCAGAAATGCATTTCAAGGATAATTTCAAGATACAATACATTGTACACTTAAACATCTTAAAATAGCTATTTTGAAAGAATTACCCAGAAAAATAATCCACTTAAACATATTTACATTAAACACTAACAATGTTCTGTGATGCAATATTTCTAGGTTTTTTTCTCCACAACAGGCAATACCTTATTTGAAAAACATTAGATTTTTTTCTCACAGTAATTGCTGTTTTGGTCTTTATGCATTAGGATTTAATGTAAGACCAAAATGGCCTGGTCACTGCAGAAGTTTGCCTTTTTTTTACACTGCAATCAGTGGTGTTCTTTCCAAACCTGTGATGAACTGCAGTGCGTCTTATCCCAACTGGATTCAGAATCTATCAGGCTGTGCTAGATTTCCTGACATGAAAATGTTAAGTGAAGAGGGGAGCAGAAAACCTTGTGCAAGGTTTCTTCCGTAACATTTGATTCGGAGTAGAAAATAAATATAAAGATGGTCCTCTTTGCATGATCCAGATCTGTTATGGCTTGTAAAACAGCTTCTCTTAGAAAATAAACTCTGAAAGTCAAATGTCCCTTAAATAACAATGTGCTACCCACAGATTTATAATGAATCAAGAACCTTGTAGAACTGGAATGAATCCTAAGAAATTGTATAGATCAGGAGTCCTCACTCTCCTAGTCCTGAAGAGGCACTGCTCATCCCTGTGGGCTTTATAAGGAACTTCCAAAACTCTTCATTGATTACAGAATTAACAGCTGTAATATTAACTGATTAAATCAATAGTGGATTAAATTAAATAATTAGTAGCTCTGGTAGACTGGGAAGCATGAAGAGCATGGCATGTGGCTCACCAAGATCAGAAGTTTGGATCACTGCTCTACACTAACAAATTCCAGATGACATTTCTGGATAAGCCTGAACACACATAAACGTGTTTCGTGAATGGTCAAACGTAGATCTGGCAAAGAGAGATTTCAGTAAGATGATACAACTAAATCCGACATCATGTCCACAGGGCTGATATTTGATACTACCCGTCTTTAAAAATCTGTCTGAAAGTCATTATTCCCACCTACGGAACTCACAAAGACTTTCCCTAATAGATTCTCTCTCTTTTTGTTCAAACTACCTTCTTCAGAATTCAAATTTACAAACCCCCCTTACACACAAGAAACAAATCACACATGATTTTATATGGTATCTTCATGTAAAACTCTGCCCTCCAATTAATCGTCTGCAACATCCTTCTAACTCCTACTAATACTTTCATCCTAAAGGAAATAGAGCACACCAGTTCTGGTCGAGTCAGGCCTGCAGCCTGGAGCAGAGCAGACAGCTAGAGGAACATGGTGCCTTTGCTATGTGAGAACCGGGTGTTGAGTTCCTGAGACTTCTTGATTAGAGCCTTCTTCTGGGCCTGGTCAAAGCGATTCACTTGCAGGTCCTGGTCCCTGTCAAAAGGCCGTCTCTCCTGGGGCTTTGTGACTTCCTCCTCCGTCTTCCTCTTTAACTTCTTTGTGTGCATGTTGAGGAGAGACTCGGACCGCTTGGAATCCTGTGTTATTAGGGAAGAGGCGGTTGATTTTAATGCAGAGCTGCATCAGAACCTAGCTTCACAGATAATCCACAGAACGCATTTTACTTCATAAACATGCAGGGGAGGGGGGAGCACAATGATAGCGAGGTTTATTTTCTTCATTGAAACCACACATTTTACAGGGTTTTCTTGCTAGCTACTATGTACAGGATGGTATTCCCCCCCTTTGTGACAATAACACACTTACTGTAACAAAGCCAGTGGATACTATAACAGAAAACATGACCATGTTCAATACACGTCTCTTTTTTTGGATAAGACAAATCTGAAAAAATGAACATCTTTCCAACTGTGTATACTGTAAATAACTAGTTCCAAGGGCATACTTTAATAAGATCTAAGATGCAACAGAACTGTATCACCATACCCAACTGGCCTGTATTTGATAAGACAAGCCTATGGAGAGCATGTACTGTTTTACGTGGTGGAGAAAATGTATTGTCATTTCTACAAAGCCCTTTTAGCTGTTAGGTAAGCAGGATGTCTTCGGGTTGCTTTCTATAAAAAAACCTATCTGGTATTAAATATAACAGTGAAAAACTTACTCTGAATACAAAATCAAAAAAGATCTGGTAAATCAACTCTCTTAAGCTGCAATTATGATTTTTACTTTTTTTGGACAAGCTGATGATTTGCTATTAAGGTACTTACATTGTACTTGGACACCTTCTCCGCCATCTCCTGATCCCTCTCCGACAGCTGTGGGATCTCCTCCTTCTCCGGACTCCTTTTCCCTTCCAGGCGCTCCTATGGAAAAAATACCCCCAGAAAGGTTACAGATGAGAAGGAGAAGATACCACAAGGAGCCTTCCTCATTTTAAATGATAAACCCGAGAAAAAGAAATGATCACGACACACATGATGCGAATGTTCATTTTACAAAGGTGTTCAGTGATGTGACTCTGCAGTTTTGGTGGGGGTGGGCTGTATTGTTTTCAACAGGAAGTCGTGGTTCCAGTGGTGTTAACAGATCTCCGTCCATCCATTTTCTAATCCACTTGTCCAAGGTACATGCTGGTCAGGATACCAGTCATTCGCAGGGCAGACACAGTACCAGACAAACACACTCTCACAGACTGGGACAATTTTCCCAGAAGCATGTCCTTAAATAGATTTATTAGCTACCAATATGCCTATGATTAGCTATTAATGCCAGATATGTCTTAAACTACAAATATTAAAAGACTGGAATGCTGTAACTGCATCGGCAATGAGTAATGAGTACGGAAAGGAGAATTTAGATTTCCTTTCAGCCGTCATGCAGTGAGCTGAGTGTAGGGAATATTCTGACAAAGGCTTTGTCATGGGGAAAGGACACCATGGGTTCATAAGTTACAGGCCCTTTCAAAAATAGTCCATAAGAAGCAGAAAAGCAGTACCAATTACTTGTAATATTCATTTGATTTTCCACACCTCTCTATGTAAGAGCTCCCCAGATCAGTAATCTCTCGCTTGTTTATGCACAAGGCACGGTTACTTTAAATTGCTTTTACTCGTTTCCCTCTTGAGTGAAAGGAAACTCGTTAGCCCACCCTGGCTTTCCTCTCCTTGTCAGCTGGGGTGTCAGTCCACAGGGAGCGATCTTTACACTCCGGTCCCGATCTCTTCTTAAAGGTTCTGGGGCCGAGGCCAAAGTGCTGCAACTCAGGGGGGAGTTCGGTCATCCACGTTTCCCGAGCGAGCTCTTTTGGATCATCCTGAGGACAGAAACATATGCCATGAGGTTACTGTCAATTCAAATAATTACTATGACTGCAATGATCATTTTAAGTGGTTTATTATATTCGCATACTGCAGAAAGAAATAATGACCCATATTAAGTTACTTTTATAAGGAAAAAGACTTACATGTTTATGTACGCTATATACAACATTTGGTGGCAATTTAACTCAACCATCCCTAACTCTAGATGAAAGTTCTGCTGATCACTTTAAAAAAAAAAACCCAAACAGATGCCATCAGCTTCAGAGAGGCATGAATTTTATGTTGAAAGCGATCTTGACCTTATAGGAGAATGAAACCTCTTCCTTACATTGCCTCCAGAAATCAGCTTTTCCTTCATTTTCTGTGCTCGGCGCTCAAACTCCATGGCAACAGTGCTTTCCACCGGTCTCTTTGGGGGCAAGGGCCCTATGACTCCACCTTCTTCCTCTTCACTGCTGGAGGCCTGCAGCAGAAACACACAGTTTGTAACAAGCCAGGCTGGGGGGAATAGCAGGATGATAAGCACTGCAGCATCCAGGATACTGAAGACACTGTGGACAAGGCATCAGCAGCTTTTCAGGTTAAGCTGTTTAGAAGTACAAAATGTCTGAAAAATGTTGCATGGGAACTGAACTTCAGATATAAGAACCAGAAAATAATGGCTAGGTTGTCTTTACAATGCTATCGAATCTAAAAAGCAAAACGACCAAAGCAAACACTACAATAGTGACAACTAAAAACAACAAGACGCCAAGGTGAGGTAAAGGGGAGTACAATGTACGATATTATTATTATTAATTCCTTACACTTATATAATGCTTTTCTGGACACTCCACTCAAAGCGCTCTACAGGTAATAGGGACTCCCCTCCACCACCACCACCAATATGCAGCATCCACCTGGATGATGTGACAGCAGCCATAGTGCACCAGTATGCTCACCACACATCAGCCATCAGTGGGAAGGAGAACAGAGTGATGAAGCCAATTCACAGATGGGGATTATTAGGAAACTATGACCAATGGGTCTGCATGCCAGGGTAACACCCCTACTCTTTTCGAGAAACACCCCAGGATTTTTAATGACCACAGAGAGTCAGGACCTTGGTTTTACATCTCATCCGAAAGACCGCCTTTTTACAGTATAGTGTCCCCGTCACCATACTGGGGCATTAGGACCCACACAGACTGAGTGAGCGCCCCCTGCTGGCTCCACTAACACCACTTCCAGCAGCAACCTTAGTTTATCCCAGGAGGTCTCTCATCCAGGTACTGACCAGGTTACACCTGCTGAGCTTCAGTGGGTTGTCAGTTGCAGGGTAATACGGCTGCTAGAGATAAGTATCCGACGAGATCCAGCTGCAGTCTGTACTCAACAAGAGCAGCTCTCCCTGCTCCTGCCCCTGCTTAGATTCAATCCCTATCCCTGTCGCTTGCAGTAGAGATTTCAGAGGGGCTGACATCGCTTCTGTGTCTCTCAGAGCACTCAGCCCTGTTACACACACAAATTAACACCTTCCTCCGATGCACAGATCACAATCACACTACCCCCTAAAAACAAAGCACTCATACTGCAGTTTGCTCTGACACGCAGTTTACGGTCTGCTGACTCCACACTGGCTCTCAACCCTGATTCATGCACCCGGACACACCTATATGTTTAAAAATGCCCGGTCAAATAAACAGAGACTTACAACTAAGTGAAAAAACTACAGTTGCTGCTGGATGAGGTGTTAGTGGGGCCAGCAGGGGGTGCTCACCCTGCAGTCTATGTGGGTCCTAATGCCCCAGTATAGTGACGCGGACACTATACTATAAAAAGGCGCCATTCTTTGGATGAGATGTAAAACTGAGGTCCTGACTCTCTGTGGTCATTAAAAATCCCAGGGTGTTTCTCGTCAAGAGTAGGGGTGTTACCCCAGCATCCTAGCCAAATTTCCAATTGGCCTTTACCAGTCCCAATCTGTGAATTGGCTTCATCACTCTGTTCTAATCCCCACTGAGATCTTGTGTGGGGAGCGTTCTGGTGCACTATGGCTGCCGTCGCATCATCCAGGTGCACATTAGTGGTGGTGGTGGTGGTGGTGGAGGGGTCCCCATTAACTGTAAAGCGCTATGAGTGGAATGTCCAGAAAGGCGTTAAAATCAGTGTAAGCAATTATTAATAAGTATTATTATTATTATTATTAACACCACACAAGACCACATGCAGACCCTGAATTGGCAGAAACTCTGGATCATTGAAGCAGAGATGCACACACACAAAACAGGGAGAAACAGAGAGGGAACACAGACAACACACTGTACTGGCCAGTAAAACTGGAGGATACCAGGTAATTCCACACACAGAGTTAATGAACCAGAACATTACAAGTACGGTTCAAGCCAGTGCCGCAAAACCTGGCTCAGTGCCGGTTAGCTAATAAAATGTGTGCTTTTCTCTTGCTCTAAATGTCCCATTTGCAGCTGCAACTCTTCATGACCCTGACAGGAGGGATTCTGGAATCAGCTAAGATTTTTGTTGGGTTTTCCCCATACAGGTATATATGCATTGTGCAACTTCAGCTTCACAAACCCATACCCTCACATAGCTCGAATGATCAGATTAAAGGAAAAACAGCCCCTGTATTGCTAATACACTATGAATTGTACGTTAATCCTTCCATGTTTAATCTGCATGTCAAAGTTAAAGTCTAGGATCATCATTTCCTTTCAAATGAGAACACGGCCACCTTCTCCTCACCGTTGCGCTGCAGCCTGGTGGCATTGCAGGGCTAGGGCCGTCTTGACTGTCGTCATCATCTTCATCATCATCAGCAGGTCTCTTAAACCCAGGGGGCAGCGCTGGCCCGATCACAGGCCTCGAGGAAAACCAACAGAGGACAGGTCACAACGACAGGAGGCCATGCAGCTCGTCTAGCCTGTTTGGTAGTTAATAGTTAATCGATCCAAGGTTCTTATCCAGTCGTTTCTCAAACGAAGCCAGGGTTTCGGTTTCTACACCATCGCTGGCCAGCTTGTTCCATTCTCCCACAACCCTCTGGACAAAGACCTTAGTTTTAAAAGCCCATTAAAACTGTTGATTCTGTAGAAGTCCACTGTGCGGACTTGTCAGTGCCTTGCAGACTTCTGAATACTCCCCTCACAGTCTTCTCTGTTCAAAACTAAAATTAAGGCTGGAATGTATCTAGTGCCTATTCTCTGGACTGATTCCTGAAAAACAGTTTATGTTTTGGTAGAATGACGACTGAAGTATACACAAGATTCTAAATCCATTGAACAATTATAACACCCCTTGATTTAATATAATACAACATCCCTTGATCCTTGATTTTTTACATTTAAACTACATAATCCCAACATTGTTCGCCTTTAGGTAAAAAAGTGCTTCAGGTTAGAAATTCCTTATTAGGTTGCCTGCTTCTCTTACATAATTATCTTTGTCTAAAGAAGCCAGCAAATGTACACAGTAACCCTGGTTTTAATGACAGAATTCACGGTAGAGTGGGATTTCACAAGTATTGAAAGATCTGAAAGCTCCTTTGATATCATTTATACAGTAGAAATATAGTTACTTCAATGTAGCATATCTGTTTGCATCATGCACTGCTTTTTTATTTAGGATAAATGTTATCATGCTGAAGAACGTTCTCAACAGAGTCATAATCAAATCAATGCCAATTGGGTGTCAAATCCAATCCAAAAGGCTCTGGGAGTTCATTAAAAAGAACACTACTGAACAACTATAATATTTTTAATTCAGAATGCAATGGAAATACGCAATCGACATTTGACCATTGCACTGGAGCATTTTTAATATTCAAGGTTTGAGGACAGTTTGGTAGCATTGTTTTTTTGCTTAAGAGCTGCTCTTACCTCTCAGGAGAGTCCTGTGGTTTCTGATACCCAGGAGGAAGAGCCGGTCCAAAAAAGCCATCCTCCTCCTCCTCCATCCTTTTCTCTGTTCCCTGTGTCCTGCGCATTTTGCTATGAATTCAAAAGAGCATAAGCTTCTCAGAAATTGTTCTAATCAGTTAGCTGCTCTCACTCAGTTTATTTATTGGTTAACCACCTGCAACTTGACTAAACATATTCAATCAATACATTATGCACTGTACACAAATGCAAGTACTGGACTAAATTCACATATGTTCTAGCCTTTGAGTAAGGGAGTCATTTGTGTCAGAGCAAACACACAGCGACCTATGGTCTTCATGAGAATCCTGTTCCAAGGATGACAAAATAATGCAGCGCAATACTGCAGTATTGCGAGACAAATCAATTAAATCAAACAGATGAATATCCATCCACTTTCTAACTGCTTGATCCAATACAGGACAACAGGAGGACTGAAGCGTGTCCTGACAAGCAATGGGCACAGGGTAGGGTGCACCTGAGTTGGGATGCCAGTCCATCGCAGGCTAGACACACACACACACACCAGGACAAATTTTCCCAGAAGCCAATTTACCTACCAGTATGTTTTTGGACTGGGGGAGGAGATCATACAAAAAGAACATACAAACTCCCTGCAGACAGCATCCCAGGAATTGAACTCAGGGCCTCAGCGCTGATAGGCAGAGATGCCGACCAATGCATCACTGTGCCACCAATGGATGTATAGGATTTTAAATATGGAAATATGGAACCTAAGAATCTTCCTGAACTACAACGCCTTCGTTCAAATAATTTGTTTAAATGGTTTACCTTGGTTTACAGTCATCATCTGTGTCATCCTGTGTCATGCCACCTGGAGGCTGAGCATGACCACTTAGTCTGCCTCTTTTAAATCCCGCGTCCTCAGGCTCACTGTCCTCTGAGGAGCTGGAGCTGTCCCTCGGCCTGTAGCCTGGAGGCAGAGCTGGCCCTGCAACTGTTTAGGAGGCGGTGAATTGCTCATTTATGCAACACATAGAAATGGCAGCGACGATAACATTGCCTTGGCCTCATCTCTGATGAACAACAGAATTTGGCAGCCAGAATCCGGACAGGGCCGCAAGCAAGCAATCGCGTTACGCCTGTCTTCGAGTCCTTGTACTGGCTTCCTATCAGGTATCGAATCAACTTCGAAATCCTCATCCTCATTCAGTACCTATCTGGCTTATTATCTGTCTACTCCCCACTTTGCAGCCTTCATTCGTCTGACTCAGGGTTGTGTTTCTTGTCTTCTCTTTTCAGCATGGCACCCAAACAAGGCTCCACAGCCTAAACGTTGTGTTTCTTTTCTTCTCTTTGCAGCATGGAATAAATCTTTACTTGTTCCTCTGCAGCCTACGCATGCTGATGCATCTACCTACCTGGTAGGTACCTACTTGAACTACTATAAATGGAAAAGACGGTAAGTAATAAGCCTAGCAGCCATTCCTTCCTAAATAAACCTTCGTCTGTCGATTTTCCTACAGTTGAAGTTTGAATAATGAACTACACTTATGGAAATCAGTCATTTAAAAGGCAACGTCTATTGCAAAATGTTACGTCGATGTTAAATTCTGTTGTTCATCAGTGATGAGGCCAAGGCACTGTGCGGCATAGAACTATATTTACGCACCATAATGTACAAGCACAGGTCCAGCTGCTTAATGTCTAAAGTAATTTTATACTGTAGAAACGTTTCTGAATTACTAGCTCGGGAGCTACTATGTATGATAAATTACTGATTTAGTTTAAATGCTAACATTTGTGTTTACGTTTATGATTTTGTTTTGCGATTAGTTGCTTATAATGAACATACTGCCTCATATTTTGCGTTTATCTCACAGAGACCACACATTACCTTCTTCCTCAGAGTCGCTTTTTCTGTTGTCTTGGAACCCCGGAGGAAGGGCCGGACCAATAATGTCATCAGACATAACACTCATATTTCTCAGTTCGCCCAAGTGCTTTTACTATTAAATCACAAAATACACAAGCTCACACACTCACACACAGGGAAGTAACCCCGGAAGTAAACAATCAAGTAAAGGATTAAAAAAAACACCTACTGCCTCCTAGTGGAGTAAAATGAATAGAACCTTTAAAATACAAATATAACGCCTTTAAAATACATCCGTAAGCAAGCTTCACGGACTTATAAATAATAATTAACACAAAAGTCGTTTTTTTCACTGGGGTTTAATATTTTATGTTTTTCCAGAGGCACAAGTATGTAAAACACATAATGCATAACCAAATAAGTTAGAGTTTTCTGTGTCTGCAACACATTTCGCGCTTCTCATTCTGTCAACATGCTACATAAAATATTTATAGATGCAATTCATATACAAATTATTGTCGTTTTATTTAAATGATTAATTCAGTGAAAACCTTCCTATTATATTTTTTCTCGCGTTCGCCCTCTGGTGTTTTATTCCGAGTGTTGGTTCCCGGAAATGACGTTCTTACGGAACTTGCACATGGCTGTGTGTTTGCAGAAAAACATGTGAGGCAGAGCTAGGAAATCCTGATCGTGAGTTTTTGTAACAAGTGTGGTTTAAACTTACTATTAAGGCTATTATAATGAATAATTTCGGTAATTATCCTGCACCAGAGGTCACCTGTTTGCCTCCGAGACCGATGCTTAGACCTCCAGTATTTCACGGGCCACCTCCGGGCCATCCCGGCAACTTTCACCCGGGGTTCGGCAACTGGTTTGGACCCCCTCCCGGGCCTGGGGCTTACCCACCTCCAGGACACTGGTACGGAGGTCCCCGTCACCCAAACCCTTGGTTTGATAACCGTCAACAGAACACGTTCGGTGAGTTGTACGAATTGGTCCACCCGTTTAGTCAAATCGTGTTTCAGACATCACAAATATGAAGATATACAGTAATCAGTGTGCCCAACTCTGAGCTCCCGATGATAATATATATGTTAGAGAACGTTATACTGTACACGGATATAGAAACAGTACGCTCATTGATGGTTTAAGATTTTACATGCTGCCGGTCGTACGTGGCGAACGGGTACCGTCTGCTCATGTCTGTTTATTTCTTGTAACTTTGAGAAGATCCATTTAATATTGGTGTTTCCGCAACCCGCACGCCACCCCGTTAATAATACTCCTAGATCGGTTTATAATATAACATAAAGTTGTGTAGTAGGTGGTCATGGCGATGTGTTAAACCAGAATTGATATAATATAGAATATATATATTTTCTTTTGTAATGCTCTAAAATCGGTGAAGCAGTATGAATTCATATTTTTGCTGCTTTGGGTTATAATGTGCAGATTTTATTAAAATCTGACGTAATGGCTTTCTTGTTTGGAATTTTGTCTTCAGGTGTTAAAGATAATAATATAAAAACTATTTTATATATGTTCAGTCTTGTCACAGTTAAGATGAAGGAAATTTTGAGTCATCCACGTTTTTATGTCAGAGTTGCAGTTAGAATAAAGACAGCCACATCAGTGTCAGGTTTGGTATGGATGGGTATTTGAATATCATCAGCGTAGAAATGATAGCTGAGGCCATGTGATCTTAAAAGCTGACCAAGTGGAAACATGTAATTGCTGAAGAGCAAGGGGCCCGGTATTGAGCCCTGAGGAACACCAGATTTATCAAGACCAATTTCTGACCTATACACATTAAGAGAGACCAAGTGACAGCGATCAGTGAGGTAAGACTTGAACCATTTGAGAGCAGTGTCAGAAACTCCAAACACAGTCTCAAGACCAGAAAGTAACATGTCATGGTCAGCAACACTGAGATCAAGAAGGATGAGTATAGAAAGAGAACCGGAATCAGAAGCTATTAGATCGTTAGTAACTTTGACCAGGGCAGTTTCTGTGCTGTGAAGTTGACGGAAGCCAGATTGGAGGGGTTCAAAAAGGTTATTTGTTATGAGGTGGTTATGTAACTGGAATGTTACAATACATTCTAGAATTTTTGCGAGAAAGGGTAAGTTAGAGATGGGGCAAAAATTGTTAAGATTGTCTAGAGCCATGTGAGGCTTTTTTGGCATGGGGGTAATGGCAGCAGTTTTGAGGACTTTTGGCAAAACACTAGTGCTCAAGGATTCATTTACGACATTGAGGATAATGGGACAGAGAGAAGGGAAACAGGACTGAAATAAAGTGGTGGGAATGGGATCTAAAATAGATGTGGTGGGTTTCATGTGTGTAACTCGTTTATTGAGGGATGCTGAGTCAAGAAGAAGAGTTCACTATTTTCATGTAGCTTTTATAAAAGACTGAATTGTCATCTTGTGTTTTCAGACAAATCTTTTTCTAGGCTGTGTTTTTGTTCTTATAAAGGATGTTTTATCATTAACAGGAGCTTGTCTAAACAAACACTCAAAATTGATCAAATATGATTCCCTTTTTTTCACTACACCTGGTTTTTGCAGGTCCGCAGAACCATTTCAGCCATCAGAGAGAGACTCAACAAGTTGGACAGAATCAGAACAGTGATGGAAAAAAGGTACCGATTGCCTAATGTTAGCTGTACCTTCAAACATCAGTGTGTGTGTTGGGGGAATCCCTTATTTCACTGTTCAAGACAACTTCTACAAACAATAGAGGTGAGGGAAATCAGACCGGACTTTGAAAGTGCTGTGTAAGCTTTATATTGTGCTTTTTTTGTTTCTGCAGAAAAAGAAAAAGGAGCCGGAGTTTTCACACTTCTGTGATACATGTGACCGAGGCTTTAAAAACGAAGAGAAATATCAAGAACACGTTTCACAACATGTAAAGGTAAACTGTATTTTCTATTAAAAGGTCTGTTGCTACCGTCTGTAACTTAAGAAGCTTTCTGTAGTAGAGAATGGAAGAATAGAATATACTTGTACTCCAACTGTTTTTGCATAATGCAGAGAAAATTCAGGACACAATCAAGTAATGCATTTGAAGGTTAAATATGTATTTAAGTAGATAAATATGTCTGAGCAAGTTTTAAACCTTCCAAAAAAAAACATTACAGAAAAGGAAAATAATGTTTGTTTTTCCAGTGCTCTGCGAAGGACTGCAGTTTCACTGCCCATGAAAAGCTCGTCCATATTCACTGGAAAAACGTAAGTAATTTTGATTTGAACTACTGGATTTTAAAAGCTTCTTCTGATAGGTCTTCCTTGGAGCTCTTGCCCATACTGTTGGATGAGTTTTGGGTGTCTCTGAAGTTTGTCATTTTAAAACTCTTTTTTTATGATACTTATGTTTTTTTTCCAAGGTTTATTTTATAAGGGACATTGGGATCTTCATTTCCTTATTTGGATACCCCCTATTTCAATAAATGATGCTGCAGTGGTAAATTTGTAACTTTGATAAAAGTGCTTTTCTTTGACTTGTAACTGTGGCTTCCAGACAACTGCAGTATGGTAAAAAAAAAGCTGCAGAACTACAGATATCCTCATTCCTTAAAAAAATCCTTCTCTCTTTTATTAAGATGCATGGACCAGGAGCAAAAAAGATCAAACTTGATACTCCAGAGGAAATTGCAAGATGGAGAGAAGAAAGAAAAAGGTGAGCTTCCAGCATTTTATTTTTTAGTAATGGCAGTGTTTGTTAGTTTATATTTTGTTTAATATACTGTTGTGCTTCTTCCATTAAATTTGCACAATTTGATTAGCTCAACCATGTTCGTCTCACAGCACCAAGAGAAATCCTTTAATTACATCTATAAGAGCTTATTGGTGTGAATAATTTTGAAGCATACTTTATATTCCTAAGTATTTAAAACAGACACAGTTATCATGTTGTAGCAAGGGGACTGCGTGTATCAGGTTTGAGGGGTACTTATTTGAGTCCGCCAAAACAGATCATACATACTATCGCAATGTCTTATTGTTATTCAGGTAAATGTGTTTACAGCACAATGACATGACTGGAATGCATGGGGTTTTTCATTTAGACTAAATTCCACTAGGTGGAGCAGTTTTGTGCCGTTCTCTGTCAATTTACAGTCATTATCAATCTTTTTTCATAGACTTTCTAGACAAGACTTTCACTTCTCTTTCACTAAGTGTAGTGTTTTGCTTATGAACACAGTGGTAACATTGCAGTCAGCATTGCTGCCTCACAGCTTTCTGATCCTGTGTTCAATTCCACACCAGGCAACCTTTTGTGTGGAGTTAGCATGTTCTCCCTCCTTCTTCCGAAGATATGGAATTGACCCACCAAGTGCTTGTGCGAGTGCGAGGCCTGCGATGGCATGGCGAGCTGTCTAGGGTAACCCTGGACATTCGCTGTGCTTACAGGATGGGTGGGTCATTGTCGTGACCCTTACCAGGAATAAGCAGCGTTCTGATAATGGACGATTATCTCCTTTCACACATTATATTAAGTGCTTTAGACTCTGTGAGTGTAGCAGTCTTTTCCTGTAACAAACAGGAAGACAGTTTCAAGCTTTGCTGTGGCACCTTAAACTACAGTACTTCAGATCCAGTTGCCTTTTGTGTGCAAGGACTTGGTATCTATAAGACAAAACCTTTGTCTTTGTGATATCCCACTTTCCTCTGGACGTCTGTGCAGTGTTTGTTTCTCCAGACCATTTTGGAATAAGGGCTTTGACGTTTAGCACTCCCTTACCTTGTTTGTTTTTTTTGTACTGTTTGATGCAGAAACTACCCCACTCTGTCCAACATCGAAAGAAAGAAAAAGATGAAGCAAGACAAGCAGGAAAGAGGAGACGTGCTGGAGACGGCACAGTTTGGGTATGTTGCCGCGAAAGTCCTCTTTTGAAAAGCCCTTGCGGAGTGCTTACTCTGCGAAAATACACTATACACTGAAGCTAAGCAGATGTGAGCCTGGTCAGTACCTGGATGGGAGACCTCCTGGGAAAAACTAAGGTTGTTGCTGGAAGAGGTGTAAGTGGGGCCAGCAGGGGGCGCTCACCCTGCGGTCCACGTGGGTCCTAATGCCCCAGTATGATGACGGGGACACTATAGGCGCCGTCCTTCGGATGAGACGTAAAACCGAGGTCCTGACTCTCTGTGGTCATTAAAAATCCCAGGGCGTTTCTCGTAAAGAGTAGGGGTGTAATTCCGGCGTCCTGGCCAAATTTCCCATTGGCCCTTACCAATCATGGCCTCCTAATAATCCCCATCTATGAATTGGTTTCATTACTCTGCTCTCCTCTCCACTGATAGCTGATGTGTGGTGAGCGTTCTGGTGCACTATGGCTACCGTCGCATCATCCAGGTGGATGCTACACATTGGTGGTGGTGGAGGGGAGTCCCCATTACCTGTAAAGTGCTTTGAGTGGAGTGTCCAGAAAAGTGCTATATAAATGTAAGCAATTATTATTATTATTATTACACGTTTCTGTCAACTGCTTTGTCCTCTTGGTGTTTATTGCCTTTATGAAATGAGAATTACTTCAATCTTTTTATTTAAGTAGCAGTTCTACAATGTAAATTTCATGGTTAGGTTTAGATTTGTTTTGTTGGGGGGGGGGGATTTGTTTAGGATTACAAACCTGCTGTTGGTCACTTTGGAGTGTCAAAGTGTGACTAGTTAAGCAATTCTTGTTTATGACTGCATCAGTTGCCTACTGATGAACAACAATTATTTTCTTCAGAAAGAAGGAAAGCCAAATAAGGAACGGTGATTTTAAAGGTTTATATAGATCTCACTGATCCTTTAGAGCAAACTCTTAATTTTATTAAAATAGTGTTCATTTGGAGTACTTGATCTTATACAATAGATTTGATCTTCCTTATCGGAGAATACACCTATATTTGTAAGAAGGCCTGTTTGCTTCTCAGCAGTTTTTAAAGATGTCCCAAAGAATCAGCTTTGGCAACATGGCTGTTTTGCTCTTTCTAGACATCGACATCACTTTGTCCTGTATTTTCAGTGTTGAGACTTCTTATCCTGGTTGTCTGCTTGTGTTCCTGCATGATTGTTTCATTGTTGTCTGTTGCCCTGGATCTGTCCAACACACTCCAGGGTTTTGAAATTGTACATCAAAATCAAATGTAGATTCATATCCTGTAACTTTTCTGTGTCTTTGAACTCTTTCCAGAGCAGCAATGTCCCTTTTGGAGTTAGATGACCAAATCTTCTCCCAGTGCATGCATTATAAACAAGATCCTAGGCATCCTTTCTTTAACTTAAACATTACTTCTCCTGATGAAGTTGTACAATTTTCATTGTGCACATATGCATTTTGTTGGTCTTGTTAACCCGTCCACTCGTAGTTTTTTTTTTTCTGGGCCATGTGAACACCTAAATCATTTTGCTTCTACTTCAAATTCAGGGGTCTCCCAAACTGTAGTGTGCTGTCCGATTTCTTGCGTTTAAAACTGTGTACTCGTCCAACTCGGCTACAGCTGTTTTTAAAGTGTTGCTCGCTCGCTCACGCTGGTGTGTGATGTGTTGTGCACAGGCGGATGAAGAGCAAAGGACAGCGGGCAGTGCCTGAATGGGAGCCCGAGGGGCGCAGGCACCAGGGGCCAGGTGGAACGTTCCAGAAAAACCCCTGGGGCAGAAAAGAGTGGAACATGAGGGCTCCGGAGCCAGAGGGCCGAGAGGCAGAAAGGCCTCGGGAGGGAGACCCCCTGGGAGCCCTGGCCAACAGTGATGCAGGTGAACCTTCACAGGGCTTTGACGGGCGGGTGAAACCTGGGCCCACGTGAAATAGGAACTTTGCCCCACTGGCCTGTCGCAGGTTTCGGACCCAGTACACAAGCATGGGTCTTCGACGCCTTGGTAAAACCAAAAGCAGCCATCTGTTACAGGCTCTTCCAGACCTCGGGTATTTTTCTAAAGGGGCAGATGGGTTAAAATTGTTAAAGTTTTCTATTCCAGTTTCTTCAGCGTCCTGTGTCCGAATACGACCTGTAGATGCACTTGTCACCTGTCCTGGTTTGTCTTTATTATTCCACGATTCCGAAGGTGGACTGTTTTTTGTTTCTGGGTGAATGTAATCATAGCACTTCTTCCAGTTTCTGGGTGCTCATGTCGACGTCGTGGAAACTATTTGAAAGTAAAAATAGTCTTAAGAAGGGCCTTATGTTGATAGGCCACTTCCTTTCACAAAATCAGCAAAACTGTGCTTTTATGATTGTTTTACTTGGCAGTAAAATTGTACTTACCTACGGGGATAGAATGTTTTATGGACAGACGTTGTTGGAGGACTGGAATTCTTCAAAGCCTCTTTTTCAGATTTTCAGTATAGTCTGAGAAACAAATAGGGGAGAGCAGAAGGCTGTGGTACATTTTAACACAACTTGTAAGTTAACCTAGGTACACTTTTCTCTAGTGAAAACATTTGTTGATTAGTCAGCAGCACGTGCATTGAAAGCATTACCTCAGTATTGAATACATCTGTTAGTGCTTTGTGCAAATGTGTAATGTGTAATTCTCTTTTATTATCGCATTATATCAGAATACTTGCAGGAATCAAGTATTATTGTGAAGCATGAAGAGTTCATAAGCTGCCTTTCATAAGGAGTATATGGAAATTTCAGGCAGTGTGAAGCAGAGTTAACTCCTTTTTCTTGGCATGCTGTGTTCACCAGCTAAAGTTCAGGAAGATAGGAGTGCCAACTGCACAAAGAGTGTCTTTCACTGCCTTTCAGCACCTCTTTCATTATGCTTGATAAGACTCAAAGCTGTCCCAGGCAATTAAGTGCCCATGAGTCAGTGTTTTTTTTTTTCTAGGTTAGTTTCTTTTGCTCCATATCTCAGGGTAAGTCTCATTATGGAAATGTGATGAAAAGTTGGACATTTTCTCCTTGTAGATTCAGACAAGGACGAAACAGCGGCCAGTGGCAAGGGGGGCCTGACTGTGATCCCCAAACAGATAACCTCAAGTCTGGCGGCGCTTGTCGCAAGCTATGGCAGCACATCCGACAGTGACAGTGACCAAGGGCCTGAGGGTAGGTCATACACAGATTTGTTTTAGTGCCCATCTTCACCATTTTTTTCTGTTTCTAAGTTTTTTTAAGGGATTACATTACTTTCCAGTGAAGTATTAGCAAAAACAAATTGACATCAATTCCAGACAGAGTTAGAAAGAGTTAATTTCTCTTTATATCGTTTTAAGATTAATTCTGGAGTTTATGTAATTAGTTGTTTTCTTTGCATTATGTCCTGACATATTTTGTTCTTTTCAGAACTATATTTTGCACGCTGTTACGCGTGTGACTGTTGACTCTGGTATCTTAGGCAAATAAAAAGCAAAAATAAAAATATATGACTGAAACCAATAAATGTTGGTGGATATAATTTCCTTCATACCATTTTTTTGTTTGCGGTTTTCCCTAAGAAACACCTCTGCTGAAAGTTTCTGCGGCTCTGGAAGAAAACGTGGCCCTCCTGAGAAATTGTCCAGAGAGGGCAGTTTGCAGGATTTCCCAGGCAGCTAAGCGAGACCACTCTGAGGACGGGAGGCAGCCCCTCCAGCCGGCAGCCAAAATGGCCAGACGCAAGAGCGCGCGGCCCAAGGAAGGGAAGGGCAGCAGTGGGAGTCAGCAGCGGCATCGACGGACCCTGCTGGAAATGGTAAGCCTGTTCCCAGGCCTCCACGCTGCATTTGAGCCTCGCAGAATTCGGTTATATCAGAAAGGTTACAAACCCGAGGAGGTCATTTGGTCCATTCTCGTTCATGCCTTTGAGGATTCTGGGTTCTTGTAGCGTCTCTGCTGAAGTCTTACCTCATAAGGTTCATTTCATTCAGCCTGTCAGTGTGAAATATGTCTTCAAGCCCCAGAATACATCTGGCTGTTCATCTGTAAACTGGTTGCAGTCCAGCAGTATTTTGTTCTATAAAAATGGGGCACAGTATTCTAAATTAGATCTCACTGGTGCATTTTAGAATTTTAACATCTCTTGGTTTGTTAACGTTTTGTTCTCCTTTTTGATTTCCTCCCCACATTGGCTGGGAGACTTATGCGTGGGGTTTACTAGCTCTCTGTTTCCCATTTAAAATGTATAGCTTGTTTATAGTTTGTAAATATAGTTTGTTTTTGCTGTCAGCGTGCAACTCTCTCCAATCGTTGGCATGAAATGTCGTCTGCCAGGTGTTTGGTCAGTCTTGAGCGTTTTCTAAATCTTAATTCACTTCTCTTGCTGTTTCTGCAGGGTTTGTGAATCCTGCTACTTTGAAATCTTCAGTAGATTTGACTAGTTTACTAGCTATTCCTGAATCTTGATTATTGATATAAAAGTAAAGAGTAGTAGTTGTCCTAGTACAGTTTCCTGTGGCACTCCAGTTTGATCAGTCACCCCTTGAATGTCCATTCTCATACTGGATTTTTTAAGTATTTTGAAAATAGAAGTTACTTTTTGTGCGAAAAGTACTTAACTAGACTGAATTATATTGGGTTTTTCATGTTACTTAAATCCATATGCCATGGTCATCGTATGGACAGTTTACGACTAGATAATTTCTCATTGCGTAGTTTTTTAGCACTATATATCTATTAGAAATATCTAAACTCCTTATCAGTTGTAAACACATTATAAACACCTGTTACAGGTTTTAAGTGAAATGATTGATGTAAAACCATGGTTTGGTTTCCCGCAGTGGTATACAGGCCCGGTGGGCCAAAAATGAGAGCCAGCCACCTGGCGAAACAAATGTGTGAACACTGGCAAAATGTGCACAGGAGTCTATGTTGAAACTCTGTTTCTTAGTAATAGACTGCAAGATCATTTGCCAGTCAGCGTTACGCACAGTAATTGCACAGGTCTCAAGGCATGAGACTAAATCTTGGTCTTAAAGTCTCACACATTTGCATCAAGACTAGGGTGAATAGAAACAATGAAGTAATTAAGTAAAGTAATGAACATAAAGTTCTGAAATTGTTGTAGACATTCGTGATTAACCAATGAGTTTTTGTATGCGAAGAGAAGAAACTATCAATACAAATAGTGCAGTCACAATTTTTTGTTGTCATTTGCGAAAGCTGGTGAGAAATATAATTTCTGTAGAGTAGTAAAGTAGTAGTAATGGAAGTCTCTTAATTTAAGTAAAAAAAGACCTCGATATTGCCTCAATAAGGATAGAAAATAAATATCACCTCAGAAGGCAAATGAACACAATTGTGGCTTGATGCATACAGAATTTAGCAATGTGTTTCAAGCGCAAAGTTCTTCCTTGGACATCATCATGGGCCGCCTGTATATATTAAAAACTAGTTTTGGTGGTCAAATAATGTCTAGGTCAGGTAATCCTGTTAAGGTACAACAGTTAGATAGCTAGTTAGTTCACAAGTTAGTACAGTAATCTAGCTGTTAGATAGCTAGATGAGGGGGGCTAACGTTAAGGAGCCACATTGTTGTTTGCGGGAGTTTACCACCTGGCCAAAGCCTTTTTCCACGCAAAACCTTAAAATCTGTTGAATTTCTGTTAGGATATAATCAGCTCTGAAATGGAAATAATGGACCTTGAAGCAGAATACGTCATCCATTTAAATTTCTCATTTATCCCAAGCGGAAACGCAGCTTTGCATAGTCAGCTTGCTGGTGTCACAACAACAGAACGGTTTCATAATAATAAAAAAGTGGATACAAGCAGCCTGCACCTTCGGCTGATGGATGCCAAAAGTGATTTAATAGAGAAGGCTGTTCAGCTCAATTCTGCTGAAACCCCTTTTGTATGAGGTTTTGTGTTACTGAAGTTTCTCCAGTGGCCGAGTAGTTTCAGAAAAGATCTTGAGGGGCTCTGTGAAATTTTGTGATTCAAACCTGTTGCTAGGCGACGAACCCCTTTGGGCTTTGGACCAGGGCCAGGAGAAAAGGCATCTCTAAATTATTTACCTAATGAGTCTGCACAGGCTTGGGAAAAGAATTTGTATTCACATATGAAGATTGATTAGTGAATGAAGGAATAATGTGATTTGCAGCCATTAATGACACACTTGTTGCCTTAATTGATAAACCCCACATAATAGCTGTTGTTCAGACAGAAGACAGAAGAGGTCCACAACTTTTAGGCTGATTAGCAAAAATTGGTAAAATTATGGATTGCTGTATTCAGCGTTTATACGCTGGCAATAGCAAGAACACATAAAAATGGCTTTCTGTTGTTTGTAACCCTGTCTCATGTAGTTTTTCCTAATTGATTAAAGTAGTGGTTCTCAAACTTCTTGGACCAAGTACCACCCCTCATCAAACCAAAGCATCCAAGTACCACCTACAAGTCATCTTCTCATAGGAACCACAGAAAATCTCAATGACCAACATGAGCGCACAAACACATTTAATAAAAATAGGACTAAGCACTTGCCATTTCAGAGAGAGGGGCGAGCCTGTTTAGTGGAGCAAAGCAGATGCGATTTCATTGGTTGAGCCTTGATACAATTCACAACTTTGACAGCAGAGTCTAACAGGTTTTAAATCCTCAGGCATTTTCTTGACTGCCAAGGCCTTGTGGTGGATGCTGCAGTGCGTCCACTTTATATCTGGAGCAACCTCTCTAATTCATGCAACTACACTGTGTCTGCCTCTGTCTGTACAAACTCTAATGCATTTTTTCTAGTTGATGCCATTCTCTTCGATAAATTCATTCAGTAGCTGAAATATGTGCTCTCCTGTAGTTTGTGTTGGTAGCGGCTTACAGAACAGAAAGTCCTCATGGGACGTACCTGTACCCTCAAACTCGTATGAAACGTAAACAAGCAAATTGGCCAAATCAACAGCATCTACAGACTCATCTAATTGCAGTGAAAAGCATCTGCTCCTCTTAACGAGCTCTATCAGCGTACTTTTGACATCATCTGCCATATCAATAATTCTACGAGTGATTGTGTCATTCGAAAGGGGCAGCAGGTCGAAGTGTTTAGCAGCATTTTCTCCACGCATAATACATGTCAGCTCTTTTGCCAACGGTACACAACGTTCTTCACAATTAGTGTGGGGTTTACCTGCTTCAGCAATCTGCAAGCTTGCATTTTCCCCTGTTTCCATTTCAGGAGTCCGTCTCAGAAGTTAAAATAAGTTTTTATTTCATGCGCATGGGAGCGAAACACAGAGACGTGTCTAACCTAGAACAGTCCTTAAATATTTTTCTGTTATCCATCACGCTTTCTCGTGCTCATGAGATTGGCATCAATCCAAAATCACGCACATTCTCCTACCTCCCTATTTGCCGGAGATAACTTTTTGAAATACAATTGGTCTCTTACGTTCGTAGCACGCATTCCTATACAGTGGTATAGAATTACATAGTAGCTCTTGTGTCCACTCAAGTATTCGCACGCTCTGTATCGTAGTACATAAGGCTGCATATTTAACACATAAACTAATTTTATTAAAATATGAAAACCCTTCCCAATTTTTCAGTGCACACAACAAATTTCCAGGGTCATCTGGCATACCACCTGGGGGCACTCCATGTACCAGCATTGGTACACATACCACAGTTTGAGAACCAAAAGATCTCATCCAGCCATTCTAGTGCATCTGTGTCAACAACATGGCTGGATAGCTTGTTCCTCACTCACACAGGCCTTGTGTGAAAAAGTACTTCCAGTTCTTGTTTAAATTCACTTCCCCCTGGTTCAGGTTCCCTTGTTAATTCTAAAGACGACTATTGGTTCTGTGGATTTTGAATCCCTAAGTTCTCTTGTGTTCTTCTCTGTTCAGGACTAACAATATTGGTTTTTTTTAGCTTCTCACTGGCAAGTGACCTTGTTCCTGGGTAGCTCTAGTAGGTCTTACAGGTCATCCAACGGTTTGGCCCACATGCACTTTGATCAATTGAGTAATTACATTGGTTCGTCTACGTCAGGAATGGCCATCTGTGGTAATTGAGTACTTAAGCTTGAAGCTTTACCTTTGCTATTAATTATTTACTAATTTCTTATCCCATACTTACTTCTGCTTCTTCTAATTCCTTAATAGTCTGCTTTCCTGAAACTGGAACCATTCATTTGGACTCTACCTGTCCATCAGCCTTTAGCACAGAAAGGTTTCTTGAGTCGAGATTGCTGAAGCCTGCTTTGCCGCACCACATCCTCAGCCATGTGTTCACGGATTCTCATTTCCAGTTGTTCACGTCTATGTAGTGCCAAATCCACGAGAAACCTTTGATTTTGCTCCTGCTCTTCAGTTTGTTGAAATAGTGTTGGTTAAATAAACCAGGGCTTGCTGCACACAGCTGTTCATTCATGGTTCTTGATTAATATTGCACCTGCAGTGTCCCTGAGAAAAGTCTCCGCCATCCACAACCTTTTTAAAAAAAAAAATGCTATTTCTCTATGGCCGTATAAATAGGATCCTATCAATTGTATCAATTGTATATACTCATTCACAAAGAAACAAAGGTGATATTTATCTTATCTTTCTGATTAACAGAAGTACAGTGCCTGAAAAAAGCAGAATTCTCTTTAAAGAAAAATAACCTGATATTTAAAATACTCCCATTCACTCACCATACAATTAAAGTATACACTCTGTATTTTGTGCTATATTATTATCAATACAGTGAAGCATTAAAGATATAACTTGATTTTTGGGCAACAGCTGTGTTCGCAAAGTGGTGTCCGCAGATGGCTTGGCAGTGAGTCATTTAGAATAGACTGTATAAACCTCAAAGTGGACAGCAGGACTTATCATAGCTTCCTAAAAGCTTTTCATTTGATTTTGTTTTCCATGGCTTGTTTTGCTTGCTTTTGTAACTAAGTAAAAATTGAATGCAGAAAAATAAGATAAACCAGAGCACTGCAAGCGTCTTTGAAGTTTGTACGCTGTGTGAGTGCACGGTGAGTATACTAAGCAAACAAGTAGAAAGATACCTGCCACGTTTGGATTTTAGTTTGCCAATTGGTTTCTGAAGAAGAGCAGGGGGCGTAATGGGGCACATTGCACCAGGTGCTTGATCCACTGATGGGGGTGTGTAAAGTGTCGTTTCAGCCTGTGAAGTGCCATTTCAAGGCACGTCTGGGTGTGATGAAGCTGCCAAATGTCAAGTCAATCCATGCAGCATTTCCCAAGACAATTGCAGTTAGAATTTTGCAAATAAATTGGCAGATAGGCAGCCATTGTAGTTTGTTTCATGTCACCACATTTAATGATATAGTCATCAAAATGTGGGTAAAACTGTGGGTAGCAGAATTATCAGAGCCGCTTGCGAGGAGCAAATCGGAAAGGAGCTCTTGATTTTCATGAGCGCTGCCAAGCTTTGAATCGATCTGTGCAGTGGTTCCCAAGACCGAGGCATTTTGAGTTGTGACAACCGAATGCCAGGTCATCTTGATATTTGCAGGAGTAGTAGTGTGTCCAGCGTTTGTGGTATGCTTACAAGAATGACACTTAATACTCCTGAGTTGAGCAGAGCAAATGATTTTTAAAGGACAGCAACAAAAGGTGCTGTGGGAGTAATGGAAAGGCTGCCCAGCCGTGTCTGTGGAGCTGATGGGCAGGCTTCAGTTTGGAAATGGATGGATGAGATGTTTGGATCAATTAGCTACTAACTTGCAGATGGGTTAGATGAGCCAAGTCGTCTCCTTTCGTTTGTGACCTTTCTTGTCTTTATGTTATGAAATGCTAAGTTTGCAGTTGGCACAGGGCACCTTAAAAAATAAAATCACGCGCCTTTTCAAAATCTGTCTGAAAGTGCATTTTTAGCCAAACGAACTAGAAGAAGTCATAACTATGTATCCGATTCTGCAGTATTTCTCAATGTTTTTCTTTCTCCCCAGTTGCTGGCGAAAGAGATTCGTCACGAGCGAAACGTCATTTTGCAGTGCGTCCGCTACATTGTTCAGAAGAATTTCTTTGGACTGGACACAAAGACCAAAGAAGCCAGCGTGGGGCAGACTGACAATGACGCTGGTGTGGCTGCTTTGCCTGCAGCCTCCAAGGAGACTGATGAAAAGAAGGAGAAGCCGCCAGTGGCGGCTCTCTGCTCCCCGCTGTCAGGAGACGCAGACAGTAGCCAACACCAGCACCCAGGAGATAATCCCTCTGTGCCGGTGGACGATGAGATCTGGGAGCTTCCGGTACTCCACCCCAACATTTGCTGATATTTCAGTTCTTTCAACGGTTCTTTCAACAACTCCGTTCAGAGTTGCTGTGGGTCTAGGGCTTTTTAATCCTGATTCAGAAGGACAGGTGTGTCTGCAGTTCATTCCTGTTCAGATCTTAATGATCTCTCATCAGCTCATCCTTACAATATTGCTGATTAGACCAATTGTACACAGCCTTTTTCCAGTTCTTCAGATGCTGTTGGTGTAAACACAGACATCCTCCATGACCCAGATTGGACATCCCTTGTATATCCTTTCTTCTTGACATTTGTACACAAAGTTTTGATCTGTAATTAAACTTTCACATCTAAAGCTGATACATTCCTTTCTTTTTTGAAGCTAACTTTAAAAGACTGTTTTCAGTGGGAGCGTAAGAGGCAGTGGTGCTTGTAACCTGAGAGTAGAGCACAGTCACATTGAGCCTTGCACAGAGCTACAATGTTCTAGCGGGGCTACAATGTCAGCAAATAAGTAGCAGGATTGCCCCCCTACCACCACACATTCTCTTTTCTAACATTAGGTCATCTTCAGATTATATTTTCCTGGGTTGGCAAATGAAAAGCCTTCTAGTATTTATGTTTGCCTTTTCAGATGTTTACTTATTATAGAGTGTCCTGCTAGAAAATTCAAGCTCTGTGATCTCATATGACAGACATATGGTCTGTCATGGATACTGTTTCATACAGTTGGAGAACACACTAAAGAGCTTTCATTGTTCTTGCAATGTCAGGTTAAAGTACCTTATTAAGACAGGAATGCGGGGGTGACATAAAATTCTACATTCTTGGATTCTGTCGGCCCATTTTAAGTGGCTAAAATGCAAAGCCTTATAGATTTGTTCCAGTCTCCAGGTTATGAAACCCACCACAAAGGTTGAATTGTTTGCATGCTGGGGTTTTGGATTTATTGCTAGAGCTCACATTGGTCATTTCTCAAGTAGCTTTATCTGCATGTTTTGGCGAGAGCTTTTGGAATTTTTCTCCCCAAAAGTGGTTCTTGGAAAAACCACTGGATTACCATTTGAGCCAAAGGATTTAGTTCTATCATTAGGGTTTTACCAGTACTTACCTGAGCTATGTGTGCTATTCCTTGATAACTAAATGATTTTGATTCAGCCACATTCTTCAGTTTCATCAGTAGGCGACATTTAACCCTAGCTAGGCAAGTTTTATTGGTAAGTCTTGTGTGTTATCTAGTTAAAAGGTTTGGTTAGTGGATCCAAAGGATTACCCAAGTGTAAATATAATGAGAAGAAAAATAAATGCTGAATTTAGATACATGGCAGGTAGTGTTAAGTTAAGTGAATGCTTTATATAAAAAAATAAGAGCAGTTCCCTCTGGTTTGTAACCTTTTGGGCTCTGTAGCCCATTTGGTTGATAGTGGCTATTTAATCTCAGGATCTGATCCAACCATGTATTGAAAGGAGTCAGGATACTGGTTTCAACAACATGGCTGGGTCACTTGTGCTGGACTCCCACAACCATTTGTGTGAAGAAGAATCTCCTGTTATCGGATTTAACCGCATTTGCACATAGTGTGTGCTTGTGTCTTCTGGTTCATGTTTTGCTGTAGATTCTGTAGAGGTTGGTGGTTTGGCTTTGTCAGTGTTTATTTAGTTTTAGTTGCTAGGAAAAAAGCTCCGTATTTAAAGTGTTTTAGATTATTATTAAGATGTCATTTTACTTTAATAGTAAGTTGTGGCCCCATCATTTTACCCATTCAAATAAAAAATTAAATATAAGCAGAAAGGAATGTTTGCCTCGGTTCTTGGCTTACAGTGTTACTGTTACTGTTACTGTGTTCTTGGCTTACCTACACAAGTAAGTGAACAAACCTGGGCTCCAGCCTTTAGGTGAGACCTGAAAGTGGGATTCTGTTGCTAGTGTCTCTATAGCAGTGGACATTTTTGCCTGCTTCATCCTCTAGTGTTTGCCTGTTGTTTCAGCTGTATGCCTCACTGAATGTGTACCAGCGTCAAGCTGAGAGAGATTTCTTCACAAGTGAAACCTCTGGTGCCTCTGTGGTAATAATGGTGAGACAACTTGGGAAAGAAAAAGTTTTTATTAAGCTTTCTATGCTCTCCTCCACCCTTCCTCTGGTTTATCTCTGCATTGTGACTTCATGGTCATATTGGAAACTGTTGTTTTCTGTTAGTGTAGGTTTCAAAACATACTTGTCTGGATGTTCAAACATTCAGAACTTTAATACATTCATTACAAATCCCATTTTCTCTATATTTTTGAAAAAAAAAAACATTACTTTTCCCAAACCTATTTTAGGAGAAATATGAAAAAGCCTCAATATGTAAACTGACATGCTGTCTCACAGTAATAAAACTGAATCTCACAGGCTGAAGGCATATTCAGAAATCATTCAATTATAGCATTTCTTGTGTGACTCAGGATCTCGGTAACTTTAAAATCTGCCTGTTTTTAAAAACATGAGGAAGAATCTTCTATTAGAAGAAAAGGTTACTCAGTATTTACCCATTTTCTTCTCTTATTTTTGAGATCTACAGTTTAACCAAATATCAAGTTAACTGCAGGGTGTTGACAATAGTTCTTCTCAGATTTCATGCTAACCCAGAGCTTATGTGAGAAAATCAAACAACCAATAACCATAAGATTTTTTGATGAGGTAGTTGAACTCAAAGTTCACTGTTTTTTCTGAGTCTCATTTGTGCTAGAAACTGAGGATTCAGAGAACATCAAAGTCATTTTGTGATGCCCCAATGCACAATCATTTCTATGACTCGTGATCATTCTCTTTACAGGATAATGTTGTTATTATTATTGTGTTATTATAAATAGTAGTGTTCATTGCTGTGTGCAGTATCATATACCAAAGTACAACCCCAGAGAAAGGCCTTGAATCACAGTTAAACCTGCAAGCAAGTATAAAATAAGATGTGTATAAAACACAGTAAATCATGTGAGATAGAGGACTGAATTCACAACATGGTGAAAGATTTTTTCTATTCTAATTTAATCATGAATTCTAAGATTCCTGTAACTCTTAGTGAGTTTGTAGGATCTGTGGATCTTGATGTTAAGTTTTTGTATTCAAAAAATCCTTTTTATGCATGTTCTATTAAGGATCAAAAATGCAGATGCATTAAAAATACTGAAATGTGTAATGAAACTTACTTGTGATTAAGACTTTAATTGAAAGATTAAAAAATTAGCAAGGTCAAAGAACCAGTTCATATGAAGATGATGTTGAGCCAAAGGGGTAATTTTCCTCAAGACAATTCTACTGAAATAAGCAAATGGGGAAGTAATTGCCTGTGTTATTTCACACTCTTGCCCTGTCTCTCGGTTATACTCCCACTAAAAAAGAGATTTTGACATGCAAGGTTGTGTTGTATTGAAATCTTGCCTGTTCTCTGCTATTTATGCTATGTCTTTCACTCTTTCTCACCTCCAGAAAGTGTTGGTGATCTCTACTTTTGCGGTAAACATGAAGATAGATCTATGGTTCTTGAAAGGTTTTTTTGTGAAGCAAAGGTGATCAGAGCACCTGTTCTGCAGTATATATTTCCTTTTCTTGTATTCCCATGTGTGGAAAAGAGCACACTGATTGAACAAGCCTGTGTGAAACACCTCAGGGCAGTAGAAAATACTGAACAACTGCAGTTTTTAACAATGGTTATTCAGCAGTGATATTTGGTGAGTCATTTTAAGTGTACGGGACAATGTTTATCTCATTTGGTATTGAGCTGTCTAAGGTTTTCAGCCATTATACTTTATTTATAAAGTAACCATATAATCTCCAGGAACTACTTTAAAAAGGTTTAAATGAATAGATAGTATGGAATTTGTGTAAAAAAAGTTTTAAGGAATCATATTGTGGAAGAGCTAGATATCCAGGTTCTCTTCATGATGCCAAAAGCAAATTCCAATTTGGTATAAAATTAAGCATGCATGTCACGTTTGGTCATTGTAGAATATGTGGATAACATATATCCACACTCTTTTTGGTTGAAAAGCATGTCTTAAGAATGTTAAACTTTAATTTTCTCTGTTTCATACATTTTTAAAGTCCTTTAAAAATCTCAACCGAGAGCGGTTGGCTCAGCTTTAGCTGAAGGCTTGTGGGATTGCAGAATCAGCTACCCAGCCATGTTGTTGAAGCCAATACCTTGGCATCTTTCAGGAAACGGCTGAATGAGATCTTTGGATCAATTAACTACCAAACAAGATAGATGGATAAAATTGCCTCCTCTTAATTGTAACCTTTGTTATTTTCTTGTGTCAGCAAGTTTAATTTCTTTGACAAGATTTACATACTGCATTGGCGTGATCTTTAACACCCATTGAAGAGACAAGACCTTTCTATTTTGCCCAGTTGAAAACTGTCTTTTAGGCAAACAAGACTTTCTTCTGAGGGCCACAGTATTTTAAGATGCTCTGTTTCTTTAAATCATGCTAGTACCTTAAAGTAACCGTCTATACTAATGTTTTGCAACAGAATGGTTTTATACAATTGTAAAAGCAGGGTTTAGTGAGGATTCCTTTGATATGTTTTTTGGAATGCTAGTGTAATAGGAGACTAGTGTCTTTTGGACAGGACCATAGGGTCTGAAGGACCCTTTGCAATAAGTAAGAACTACAGTTCCCATGAGACTAGAGCAGCTCACCCAAGGAAACGTGTATATTACCTTCAAAACAGAACATCCTCAACCATGAGAGTTTTTTTTAAACAACCTACTAATGTGTTATGACAGACATTGATGAGAGATTCACATTCTGGCTTCACAGAACTATAAACAACAAACTCCTTGGAAACATCCGTGACCAGATGACAAGAAATACTGTTATCAATGCAGTGTAACAGAGGGATTAGCCATGCCGTATTGCAGGACTGGGGCCCTAGATTCATTTTGTATGGGTGCTGTTTGTGTTCATGTGGTTTTCCTCTGGGTGCTCTAGGTTCCTCCAGCAATCCAGAGACATGGATGGATGTTTGCCCGTTATGCCTTTCTGTGTGTGAGGACAGCAACATCCTGTTGCAGTTACCATAACATTAGTTTTTTACAGGACAGGGTTGTTAGCCTTGTGTCCAGTCTTCAACATGGAAGACCTGGTGCCCGATGTGGGACACGAACCCACTACCCTGAGATTATGAGTCTCATGCTTTATCAACAGATCTAGTCGGGGCCTAATCCAGCGGCATGGCAGTAGTTTAATTGCCTTTTGGGAAAACTGGCCCTGGTGTGAGTGTGTGTGATTGGTATGTGTGTGCCCTGAGATGGACTGGGGTCTCGTCCATCATCCAGGGTGTGTCCTGCCTTGCGCCTGTTTCTTGCAAAGATGG